ATATAAGCAGCACCTTTCACTTCCTATCACTACAGCTATTCCTCTCTGCATTCCAAGCCTTTAAGCTGCTCTGAAGATGGAGGCGATACGTTCCTCCGAAACGTCGGCCAAAACGAAGAATACACGGTGCCTAAACCCAGACTTTCTTCATAGTCATTGCCGTGAAAACCTCAAAACTTACAAGATCAAACAGCAGTAATCTTCAATGCTGACGATGTCTTGCATTCATGCAAACCATGGCCCTCAGCAACAAAAGGGACCTCAAATTTCAAATGAGAAGCATTTTTCATATTAAATAAAATACTGTGAAGACAGGATGGTCATGCTGCACAAAATTTAACATTATAGTGCATAGATTGTTTTTAATATAATCATTCACATATAGCACAAGACAGAAAGCCTGTATGTGTCCTTGCTATAATATTTACAGTCATCAGGGCAGATAGAATTTCATATTACACATACAGATTTCCAGCTCAGTGTAACATCATATGCAGCCTATAACTTCTTCTCTAGGACTCCCATCTTCTGGGATATAACACAGAGTAGTCCAGCAAAGGTCAACTGACCTCTCAAAAGAACTGCTGCCTCCACTTCAGGGTCAAAGGGTAAGCCAAGCAAGAAACCAGCATGAAGCAGGCAGCCTCTTTCATGCTGGTTTCTTGCTTTACTTACTCTTCAACCCTGAAATGAAGATGGAGCCTACACATTCACCAGACAACACAGAGTTATATCCTGCCATGCACTGCTTCTTTAGATTTAGAAAAATAACGATACTTCTGCATCATATCAAATTACATGCTAGTATTGCTGCTGTGAGAATTCTGAAACACTGTCAGAGGCAAGCAAATAGTTGAACCCTGGATAAACATTATACCCAAAAGAGACACAATTTTCCCAGGCTCCTGCAAATTTTAGATGAGTATGGCAACAACTGACTAATTGTTCCATACATTTTAGACAGAAATATTGTTTACAATGTCAACCATCATGGATTTTTTTTAAGTCTGGATTTTAAAGACTTATATTGCAAATTTCTGATTTGTAACCCCAGGTCAGGACACTCATTCAGTTGTCAATATGATCTACCTTCCAGTTCTAGTAGGCTGGTAGCCTCATTGTGACTTGGGGATAACAACATTAATATTGAAAAAATGCAACACCAGGCTGTTTGGATGGTTAAAATACTGTGACACAGCCAGTAAAGATTGTGCATATTCATTTTACCATGGCACAATTTTTCCTTTAAAATTTCAGCCTCTGCTTAGCTTCTAATAACTACCTCTAAACGAAAACATCTACAATTTCTGTATCATGATACACAGGGTCTTATCGTTAAGTGTCTTAAAGTGTTACAAAGTACAAGCTATGTCACAACCACTAGACTCTTTCCTTTAGCATTTAACAATATCTAAAAAAAAAAAAGTATTTATACCTAAGCAACAGCTAATTCTGGTCATGATTGGGTATACCCAGCATCCTGTCGCTAGGATACAGGGAGAGAAATGAGAATAGGATAATAGAGATAAAACTGATGGGAAAGCAATACAGGAGAAAGGAAGGATGGAGATAAAGATAGGAAATGACTAAAGGAACAAAAAAAAAGCATGATATCCCCCCCATCACGTATGAAGGGTCGTGCAACAGCTCAATAATAAAGTGCTTCCTGTGACTCATGTTAAGAAATAAATAATGTCTTTCATTTCAGTCAATACACGAAATTAACTTATACACATTGACTTCCATATTAGATGCAACTTTATTTACAATTGCTCCATGACATAAAATAAAAATGAAAAATTAACCATTAGAAATTGCTCCATGTTTCAGCCATACTCAGCGATCTTCAGGCAACTACCTCACTTGTCAAATTTCTATACTCTATTTTCAATGTAATTAAGATGAATTATTTCATAAGTTAAAATATTTCAATGTTTTCCTTTTTTCGTCATCCACTCATTAAAAAGATATTTGTTTCAGAACATCACTCATCACATTCTCATGCACTGCCTTCCTTCTGTGGCGTCAGTTTTTAGCAAGTTATTTGTGTAGCTCGTATGGAAGTTGGTATGTATCCTTCTACGCTGCTGAACTGAGTGTGTGTTACTTCTTACATTGAAAATACAGTGGAGCATTTTGACAAGTCACACAGTTGTCTGAAGATGGTCGAGTACGGCCAAAACATATAGCAATTTCTAACGGTTAATTTTTCATTCTTATTTTGATATAAAGGAGTAACTGTAAATAAAGTTGCATTTAAGATGGAAGTGAATGTGTATAAGTGATATATTAATGCAACAGGATGATGAAATACAAAAAACATGAAATTAAACCAAAACTTATCTCAAGCCCTTTCATCACATAAAGGTCCTTTTCCTTATATAAACTGTATATTGTGTAACTTAAGTTTCTCTTCCTGAAGATATTTCAGATTTCAACTAGAAGTTTAATCACATGAAAATCACCACATGCTGTAGTCTGTATCTTCAGCATCAAATGTCATAAAGAAGCCAAGCAAAGTCGCGTAGACAACCACATTCCCTGCCAGCGTGAGGTAGCAAGCTCCCCATTTTATCTGCAATGGACACAGGCTTCATTATGACTGGTACATGTGCAGAAAAAGGTGGCCCCACAGCTCTTCTGAATGTTGTGGTGAAATAAAAAACCTCAACACCCCACCAGGATTTGACCCCTAATTCACCAGTCTGATGACCGAGATCACATAGATTTCAGATCCAAGGCTCTCAAAACGGTGCATATTAAGATTATAATAATATCTGCCAGTCCAGAAAGTGTCAGTTCCTAGAAGACTGTAATGCAGAGGTTTGCTTCAAGATATAAAAACAAATGATGTTTAGAATGGTAAGTACCGTCTCCACTGATGTTACAGAGGAACATACTATCTGCATCTTCAGAGCCTTCAGGTTCTGCCTGCTGCCTGATTCTAGTCTGCCTCACTTTTCAACCAAGATGCTGGAGACAGCAATTTCCTCCAAAAAGTTTGGGCCTTACATTACAAAAGATAATACTCTTCACAGTCACCATTGTAAGAACCTCAAATCCATTTAAAATCAGTGCTCCACCAAATAAAAACTTTTGGGAAGAACTTCAGCACCCATTTCCCTTAAAATTCTCTAATTTGTGTACAGAAAGTTAATTATACAAAATTCCTACTGATTTCTGGGTATAGTTTCCATTAATATAAATTCAGTTTCCCTGACAGATGGCAAGAATAAAATTAGGACATCAGGCAAAAAATTTTCAGAATGTCCACCAAGCATAACAACACATAGTGGAGACTGACCAGAGAAAGGATTACGGCAAAAGTTTGATGAAATTCCTAAACATTATACTTACCACTGGTGCACTCTCTGGAGACCTTGCCAGGACAATGGGCAGTGCAAAGGAAGACACTACGAATCCCATTGTTATAAATATAGCAAATTCATATGCAGCTGTGCTACTTGAACCAGAATTCTCTGCATGACGTCGGGCTATTAGGGTTGGCAGTGGGGCCAGAACGTAAAAAAGCACCACAAAAAATGTCCACCAAACTCTGAAAGAATAATACATAATACAGATTTAAACAATTTATCTTGAAAGGCCAAACTGTGGAAAATGCAAGGTGTGATATTTGAGGTTCACATGGCAGTGAATGTTACGGCTGTGTGTAGTCTGGTAGATATATGCCAGTGTATCTAAGGAACCTGCTGCTTCCATCTCCTTACCAGAAGAAATCATTGCTGTGATAAACTCAGAGCTCACCATGACTACATTTCTCATAGCAAACTGCATCAACAACTAACAAGTTTCACATTCCACTCTCTTCATTCTTACTTGAGTACAGAAAACAGCCAAATGTCTATATTCAAATCTTGCACTTCAACTTGTTGTGTAAGAGCTTGTTTATTTCCTTATTCCTTTGACAAAAGCATCTCTAATGTGAAAGCTCACATTATGCCATGGTCAAGTGGCTTTTGTTCCTGCTTCTTATTCAGAACATCCCAAGTCTTGGCCTGGAGACCAGCTACCCTGTTTTCTTGACCTTGGCACCAGTTGGAATAGTCCCTTGAGACAGGCCATAACTGCTCCCATGTCCTTTCCAGCTCATAAACCATTAATCAGCATCTCGTTTCATGCTATACAGATTGAGCTAATGACAGCATCATTAAATAAATTAATTTTTTTATATAAATTAAATAAACCCTTCAGGCAAATGGTGTAACAGTACCTCAAATTAGGCTACAGCCACTTCCAGATGGTTTCTAATTCATTATTCATTACACATCTTATTACATGCTACAGAAGCTGAGATACTGACAGCATCATTATACAAACATAAATTCAGAACAACCTGTTAGCTGCTATTAGGACATTCCTAATGAGAAAGAACATACACTTAATGGCTAAACTCCACTTTTGTATATCTATGAATTCACTTACTTGTAGTCTGGTAAGGCGCATCCCAGTATGACTAATGTCATACCAATTGACCCAGCAAATGCCAAAGTAACAAGCCTAAAAGAAAAGCATAAAATCACTTGGGGAAAAATAACACATCAGTGTTTTACAACACAAATTAATTATTTCACACTTAATCAGCATCATGCTTAAACCACTGTTGGCCATCCTGCACAATTTATCAGACACAAATATTGATGGGAAATACCTAGCATTCCAGCTTGATAACTGTTAACAATGTCAGTTAGTTACAATGCATAATAATGGAAATAGAGAATTTTAAATGCAACTTACGCTGTGTGTGTTGAAGTTCAAGCATGAAAAAGAAAATAAATATTAATTAGTACACAATAATACTGTTCAATTTGTGAACAAGAAAATCAATTGTATCAAGTCTTATTCTCAAAATTTGACCTGAGTTGGTGAGGTTTATGACAGAAACATTCTTGGTCTATCATAATTCCCCACATTTTTTAAATACATAAAACCACACAATTCATCCCACTTATCTCATTCTTTTATGTAACTGTTCTAATTTTCAATGTGTTTAGCATATCTAAAGAAGGAAGTCATATTTTCTGTTTACAGTTTCCATAATTATAACAATAAATACTGGCATCAAATGCTCATAGTGATGTCAAAACCAATGGGGAGCAGTGTTAACTGAATGTACAAATGCAGCCCTAGAAAACCAAATATCGTTGGCTAGAAACAGTTAATGATTAAATGTAAACAGGGTAAAGAGAGAAACCAGAAAAATTAGGGTAAACTAACAAAAATAAAATTAAATAAGAAACACTGATAGTACCAGCGTTATTAAATGCGACAAAATGTAATAAAGGTAAAAAGGAATGTGTCTAGCTAAAATAAAACAGGGATTTTTCAACAATGCAAATGCTTTATATGGGATGTATATTAAAACAAGAAGTTTCATAACATAGTAGCCCCAGTGGAACTTGCAAAATCCTAACAAATTTCGGTACACCTTGCCGCTTCACTCTTGCACCACATCCACTTTCTTCAAGCCCTTCGTAGCCCTGTACACATCTGGTCAAAGGAACAAACTCTCGCTCATAGCACTTTGGAAGAAAAGGATGTAGCCTGAAAAGACTACATCACTACATCGTTTATCATACAATACTAATTCTTAATACCAAGAATCCGAAAAGAGAAAATTTTTTCAAACTGTAAGAACAGATATCCGGTCAACTGCAGAAAGTAATATTCATCTACAAGCAATCACTATTTAACTAAAATTATTAATGTGAATCACAACGTAACATTCAAATGCTTAATTATTACTTTCCCCACTTCATACATACCTTTAACGCCAGCCATACTTGAAACATATGACAGTTGGGCGGGGTGACGTCATGCACCTGTTCCCAGCAGCTTTATTTACAATTAGGCATGTATATATACTATCTTAATCATAAAATGTTCCCGTGTATTCTGATGCTGAAAAATTGTTTTAATTAAAGTTAGTATTACAATTATGCCGCAGCTTTCATCACAAGTGTGCTGCTGTTGAACGATATTGCGCATTACAAGTCTATTTTCATTCTTTGTACGTTCAAGAAAGCAACTGACGGAATACGACGTAGAAATCCATTACGGTATTATTTCAGTGTCAATAAAACTGAGAATTCTGTTATACTACTTGATTCAGAAGCATTTTATACGTTACTGTGCTGTATTGGTTTTTTATTAAATGCGCGAGTACGATCTAAATATGGGGTATTACTTTTAATTTCTCTGATAATCTTTGTAATATATTCGGCAACATCGCAAGCGCGTTGTGTGGAAGCAGTAGATTGGTGGCTGTTGCGGTCAGGCTATCTGTCGAGTGGCGTGAAAGACCCCTACGAATTATAAGAAACGAATAATGGCAGAAGGACGAAAGTAAGTAATAGCAACACAGCATCTCATATTAGTTACTGATATAATACTGATTATTTAGATATACACTGCAATGTGTATGTTGTATAAAACGTGTTGGGTCAGCAGAAGTGCTTCAAATTTACGTTGTCATGTTCCCTTTGCTCGATTGTTCGGAATACCCATGAGAAACGTCTAAACGTAACATTATTTATTTACTATATTATCATTATCGATCATTTTTTGTATGTAATCTCCCGTTTTATGTTTATTATTTTAGGATATCCAGATCAAAATAACGGATTTATTTTTGTTCAACAGTGCTCCGGTTGTAGTGCAGGGTTAAGGGAAAAAACTCGTTCACGGGATGATTCATTCATATTATTTCACAATAATGATGCAGAAATATCCTATACATATCTATAATCAGCTTTGTACGAAGAACTGACTACTGGTCGAGCCATATTTCGTGATACGTAGAAGGAAATCAGAATTGAGGAAACCGTAAAAAATAACAGTTTAAGTGTAATTTATGGTTATGAATATGCTTTTATCATCAGACTGTTCATTTGAGATTTTTGAAATAGCGAAGTATCCCATTAAGTAGCTGATACTGAGTTGGTTTGCATATCTAATTCTGTAGAATTAGGATTAGATTAGCGTTAGATGCTGCTTTCGAATCTCTGCTGAGACACCAGCTATCATGAAGGTTTTTGGTGGTTATTCTCAGTCCTGCAGGCGAATACCGGAATGGTGTCTCGCTTAGGCCACAACTGCTGCCTTCCCAATCCTTTCCAGTTCATTGATCTCTACAAAAAGTCCGTTTTGTATTTTTTGAGGTTAACACTCCATGTAGTACTGAGATAAAGAATGCATGGAGCTATACCGCCACTTGACAGTGGCATGGCGTTTAATAAAACTAGACATGACCTTTCACATGTTTTTAAACCTAACAGGAAGTCTCCTTGTTGAGGATGTGCTTAATTGCTGAACCATTTCAGCCACATTGGTTCAGTTTTGTAACCACAGACAACCGTGCTAATGTAACATTGTCCCAGTGTTTCCATCAAGAAACCAAATTTAATGCACTTGGTGCTACCATCTTGTACCCAACAATGAAAGCACAGAATTGTGCACAGTGTGCATTAGTTTTGTCCTTCATATGTGGTCAATGATTAGTCTGTTTGCAATTTATGATGTGGTTCCTCCTGTATTCTCAATAATCGAGCTTACATTGGCAGTTTTCATTTCTCGATGGTAGCAGTTTGACTGGTACATCTTGTGATGGGAGCCATGCACAGCAAGACAGGTCATAGTTTGGCTTTGTCCATTTTGTGTATCATAACTTATATGGAACAGAACTCACACCATATATTTGCCCCCTTCATTTGTTTTGTATTTTTTTTTTTACATTGCATTCCATTCCATGGATCCAGAGTTAGTCAAAATGACTGTAGGATGTGGAATACGTCATATAAATACAAAACATATGTACAGTCCCAGTGGAGTTCTCACACAAAAGAAACCAAGAATACACTGTGACTACACACAAGGTTATTTAAAGATACATAAGTTATTTTCTAGACAACAGGTATTCATCAACAGAGTAGAATGAATGTGCATTTCAGTATCGTTTCAGTGCTATTTTAAATCATGTATTTTCATTCATAAGACCTTTGAGATCAGATGGCAGGTTATTAAAAATGTTGATCCCAGCATAATATGCGCTTTCTGAAAGAATGAGAGGTTAGCACTTGGTTTATGAACCAATTGTATAGGCCATTGGGCCTGACAGATTTCTTGCTTTTTAGGGTAGCTGTCATGACTTCCATGTTCTCTTCCGTGAAAGAACAGAAGGGGGAGTCTTGTGTAATGTGACGGGTGGAAACATTGCATTGCTTTGCTATCTATTCAGAATTAGCTTTAAGTGGTCGAAAAAGGATGGATTCTGCTTCTTGAATTAATTTATTTACTTGTAATGCTGCATAAGCTTCTCTCTTTTCCTTCATCTGTGCTTTGTTCACTTAGAGAAATTCTTGTCGCCATTACAAGTTTGTTGTTGAAGCTCTACATATTCTTTTTTATGCCCTTTGTATTTGGAATTATTAGTTAAGTGTTTTATAATAATGTAACTGCTAGTACTGTTAATGGTTTTAGAAATTATTACACTTATTTTGAATATAAAATGCCATGGAATATTGATAATTATATGTGGTTTCGCACTGTAACCAGTGGGGATATTGTACATTTACATTCTCCATTTACTACAGATTGTCATGTCAGCAAGGAGATTTCTTGTGAGGGCATTGTATAATGCAGTGATAGTGAAGGTATTTGATGAGATCCTCAACAGCCCTGATTCAGCTGCGTTAGATAGCAAAAGTAAACCTGAGGATCACAGTACTGACATGTTAGACGCACACATTTGTGTCTTCAGTACATCCCAGCAGCCTTGTACAATAGTTGTGATGGTGAAAAGAATGTGCCACTAGCAGACAGATTCAGAACTACTAATTTACTGGAAGAAGCACATTACAGCACATCAAGCAAGAGATATCCATGAAGATTTTGGTGCAGATATGACACTCATTCATTCTTTTATAATCCTGTAGCTCATGATACAATGTTATAGGACAATGTCATGGTGATGTATTTCAGTATGTATTTACTGATGGCAGTGGCACGCGGTAGAGTAGTTGGTTGAGGCACTAAGCTAAAGCTGGAAGGTCACAGGTTTGTATCCTGATGAGGTCACTGGATATTTCAATTTGCCTAATCCTTCAAGCTGCACTATGGCCTGGGGTCAACTCAACCTCTAACAGAAATGAATACCAAGAATCTTTCTGGGGGTTAAGGGGTGGCCGACACTTAAGGCTGACAACCTCACTGCCATCTGTGAGCCAGTTGTCTGGAAAATGTCTCACAACCCTATGGGTCTCCATGGCCTGTTACAGGGATAGCTTTACTTTAGTTACTGATGCCACTGTAAGTCACTTGCCAGTCATGGTAGTGGCACTGTTTAAGGCATGAACTGTCTGCTCTCTCAGATGCTGGGATCATGGGATTGAATCCCACTTAAGGCATGGATGCTTGATGTGTGTATATGTTTATTCTTTGTTTGTGTTGTCCTGTGTTCAGGTAGAGGCCTTGTCACAAACTGATCACTTGTCCAAGGAGTCCTACTGTCTGAAAAATTATTACTTAACTGAGTAAGAGGCCAGGGCCCTGAATGGGCTGGAGGAGCCAATAAAAAAATGTAAGTCACTTAATATATCCAACTAAGTTGTATGCCACACAAAATAAGGAGGTGGCCTGGAATTTCAAGTGACAGCAAAGCAGTGAAACAGTTTCTTGATATCTGTATCCTTATGGGGATCAAAGAACTGCCAAGGCATGACGACTGTTAGTCACAAAGCAGACTGATTAGAGACATTATCATAGATTCTTTGATGAGGTGGAACCAGTTAGAATGGTTCCTCAGTCACTTCCAGTAGCAGCAGCATCCAACCATCAACAGATGATCAGAGTTACAACAGGTAAACTCTTCAAAATCTGTCCCTTGGTAGACATACAAGGATTACTACAAAGCAATAGAAGTCCAGTCAGATGATGAGTTAGCGACTGGCTGCAAAGGTTACACCAGCTAATGCCAGTTCATAAAGAGAGGGTACAAGGTATGTGTACTTTGAAATGGTGGTGGCTTTGTATCAGAATTTTAGGTATGTACTTCCAAGATAGACCTTGTAATAACAAAGAATTTGTTGTAAAGCAATTTATGACCTCAAAAAAAGATCATGAAGGAAAACGCCACCTTTTTTTGTGTAGGATTTGAGGTCCTGACAGTGGCGGTTATGAAGAATACTGTCTTCACCACCATATTTGTTTTGATAGTTATCGCATCATCCCAGAAGTCTGTGCAAGATGAGGGAACTGACACCAGTAACACCAGTGGCACTTCTCCATTGTTATGGAATGTAGACATCTGTCGTTCAACTGACATCTGCACTCTGACAAGAAGGAATAGAGTGAAACCTCACAGTAGGTTATTTGTCCACAGATTGAAAAAGCGTATAATGCGAGTGTCGGATTTATCGATGTAGCAGACATGTTGACGTTTCTGCACGAGATAGGAAGAGTCCGAAATGGTGGTTACAGATCTTCTGACATTTCCATGATGTGTGCGTCAGTACCCCCATTCCGTAGGAGGGAAATCTAGAAGCAAGAGCATTGACACCTAAGAAATTTCACCCATATGTTGCTAGTGATCATATTGGGGCCCTGTCATCTCCATGAAGAGGAAGGGAAGTGAGCCTTGCCACTGTGCAAAGTGCAGCACATCTGTTGCACCATATCACATACAATCTACCAAAGGGGTGTGCCAGGCATGTGCTGTAGGGCTGCATGAATTTCAGTAAGAACTGCTTCAGCAACACAAGTGACATGTACTAACTGATCATGCCAATGGTATCACTGCATAACCAGGGCTGTTCTGTAGATTTCTAAGTACTAAATATACATGGTGCATCACATACGTAGTTTTTGCATTTGAGGTATAAAAAAATATTGAAACAGATAACACAGTTTTTGACAGTGTAATGATTTGGAGCTGAAAGGACAAAAATGTGAAAATAATTGAAAATATGTGCAAATATAACTGTTCTAAAATGGAAACATTCTGAATAAAGATTGTCCACGTATTAATGCTCTGTTTCCTCCCTTTGCTTTCATTCCAGCCATTTTTGCATATGGGTCCTGTGTGATGTTTCGCTAGGCCACTGTTTCACCGAATATATAATAACGTGCCTTAAAAAGTGTTTGTTTCTAGAATTTGAGGAGGTTGTGTTTTCTTGTGTAATCACTTGTACATTTTATAGATGTCATCTAACACCTGCCACATTACTTGTGGAACTTTTCCTTCTGTTACATAGTCCAGTAAAACCGTATATTACAGAGGTGTTTTGGCAGGTTCAGGCCAGCATTTGCTCTTTTACCTTAGGTTCCAATGCATAATGTATGAGAGAATCTGGTTTTATGTTGTATTGTGGTAGCATAAAGCTTGGAATTGATTAGCAGAAATGTTCTAGAGTAGCACATCTGCTTTGTGCAATAGAAGTGTGTTGCGTGCAGCATGACTCAGTAATGACTTCACATTCAACTTGTTTTACAGTCCTGATGATTTGGCAACTGCAATTCTGCGTAAGAAGGATCGTCCTAATAGACTTCTTGTTGAAGAGGCAGTTAATGATGATAACTCAGTTGTTGCATTGTCACAGGTATGTGTGTATATAGATTTTACCAAATATAAACTTAAGTTCAGTGATTGTTAAATTTTCTTTGCTTTGGTAAAAGGAACTGCATGCAGCGCTAGTAGTTTTGCCATGAAACTGGAGCTTACTCCCTTGTTGCTGTTCTGGTGTGTTTAGCACAAGATGGATGAGCTGCAGCTGTTCCGAGGTGACACTGTGTTGCTCAAAGGCAAACGAAGGAAAGAGACTGTTTGTATTGTGCTGTCAGATGATACTTGCCCTGATGAGAAGATTCGAATGAATCGAGTTGTAAGAAATAACTTGCGTGTCCGTCTGTCTGATGTTGTGTCTGTGCAGCCGTGCCCAGATGTTAAGTATGGCAAGAGGATTCATGTGTTGCCCATTGATGATACTGTGGAGGGGCTGACAGGGTGAGTACCTGGCTGAAACTTCTGATGGTTCAGAGTTGTTACTGAATTGTGTGACCTATGCCAGAGCCGTTGTTCAGTCTGTACTTATCATCTTGATGAGCTGCATGTAGTATTTCCCAGCGGTCCCTAAAGCTTTGTATGAGAGCTGTTGAGTTGGGCTGGTGACAGACCTGCTGAATTAGGTTTTATCCTGAAGGGCCATATTAAATATAAGCATAAAAATTTAATGGAACAAGTAGTTGTGGGAACAACCAATTGCTTACTTTCCTCTGATAGGACATGAGCCTCATAGAAAACTACTTGTCCAACATTTCTTCTATTGTTGCACATGTATTCGTTGCCACAGTAATGATTTTACTGAGCCATTTGCGTGGCAGCATACACATACACACAGACTGATGGCTCAGTAAAATCATTACTGTGGTAACGAATACACGTGCAACAGTAAAAGAATTGTTGGACATGTTGTTTTCTATGAGGCTCATGTACCTGCCAGGTTTTGTACAAATTGGTTCAGGTATTCAAAAGTTGATGGATGGGATTCAGACGCAGACAGGAAGGAGGCACCACAATCCTAGCTTAGGAAAGTAGGGTGAAGAAGTATGTCATAGTTGCCATTAAGGGTCAATGGTATTTTTTTTTAAATTGTTAGATCACATTTTAATCCAGCTTTATACTTTAGGTGTCTTACTTAGACTCTTTTGTTCACATCAAGGGATCCTCACACTAAAAGAGTTCGGGAACTACTGGTCATATAAACCAGCTGCGTAGCTGACAGCTTCTCAAGAAATATCCTTTGCCATTAGTTTTCACATGAATGTGAGCCAGAATGATTTGAAACACTGTTCTGTCAGACACAGGTCACACCCACTGCTGACATTGCATAAGGAATATAGTTACAAATCACTTTACCCCTTTATAGTCACCAGGGTGCAGGATTCCCATGTGTCCTTTATGTGACCCAGTAATTTCTGCACAGGAACCTGTTTGAAGTGTATCTGAAGCCATACTTCCTTGAAGCTTATCGTCCTATTCACAAGGACGATGCCTTCATTGTTCGCGGTGGAATGCGTGCAGTTGAGTTTAAGGTTGTGGAGACAGATCCTTCTCCATATTGCATTGTAGCTCCAGACACAGTCATCCATTGTGAAGGGGATCCAATCAAGAGAGAGGTAATGTTATGAATGTGATGTCCGTGTAAACGTATTCCACCCTAAAATTGATTAAGAGGTGGCTGCTCTTCATTGTGACAGAAGAATTATTTCTATGAGCTCAGGCTTCTAGTGCAGAGCCTCTTTGTGTTCTGTGTTCACATCAGAGAAAGTTTCCTATGTACTGGTCTCGCAAGGTCTGCTGCATATTTGATTCACTATACCAATATTAAAATATGCAATATGCACTTGAAAAGTTCTCAAAACTTACTGATGTTTATAGAATAACTTTATACACTAAGCAGTCCTGCCTTCTAGAGGCATCCTGTGATCTTGTTATGGCAAAGGTGGGCACTGCAATACTGGGTTAAGCATTGCTCCCAGTGCCATTTATTGCTGCCATCCCCCGCTTCTATTTGTAACTAGTACCAACTCTGACTGCTAACATACGTAATGATAGAATAGCAACCATTATGCTCATGCAGTGAAACCCCACCTCATTTTTCTTTGGAGGGCGTGGATTTAAACACTAAACTGTGGAACATCTTAAATAGCGGAAATTTAACAGTTAGGGCGAGGGCACACCTAGAAAACTGGCAACCACAATTCCCAAGAACCGTTTACATCCCAAGTTGAACATGTTACTGTAAGATCACAGAAAAGTTTGATGAAGCTGCTAGTTTTGTATTTATGCAGTTAATTGAGCAAGAACCTGGTATATATGGCATATGCAACCCAGACTGTGCTAGGAATGACAAAATAGATTTGACTTTATAAAGAATTTCTCATGAGACTAAGGAGTCTGGATCCTGGTTAAGTTCTTTCAAAACAAAATAAGCACCTCAGTTTAAATTGTCACACAAGAACGCATGCACCCAGTGTTTTCCTAAGATGGTATTTAAGCATCCTGTTGCATTAATATATCATTTATTTCACATATATTTCCATCTTAAATGCAACTTAGCCTCTAGTCACCTTCTTCCACATTGCATAATTTGGCTGCATACAGCCATTGTCAGGTGTCTTCTGTCTTGCTAAAATAGTCGAACTGTGTGTCAAAATTTTGTATATTTTCTGATTAAAATAAGTTGACATTAATTAAAAGAAATCAGTTAACATCCCAGTATTGTCCTCATGGTCGCCGTCCCAACCGATCTCAGCTACCACCATATTATGACAGGACCGGTATTATTATCTTCCATTGGAGAATGTAAGTGCATGAAATTAAAAATACAGTCTTGCATTGCATCAGACAAACATACCCAATTAAGATGATGTGAGCAACTACTCAAACGTAAATTTCCTCAGTGTGCGCCTGCTAATCTGGAAATCAGTTGCCTGCTTGAAATTGGTGACGTTTGTCTGAAATTGCGGTTGCTAGTTTCGTTGGTGTGCACTTGACCTAAGATTTGTTGACTGTGGGTTCTAAAATTTAACATAAATGTGAACCTTATGTTGAGGAAAATTAAAAGGCATGTATATGCGTGCATTTAATCTTTGTCAGTGTAGTGACAGCCTATCACCTGAAGACACAAGTACAGTAAACTCTCAAAATGTTGCAAGGTAGAGGTGTCACTGTGCTTTACTAAGTAAGCACTATGCCGTGAAGGTGTATGGGGGAATGGATGTATAGATCCACATTTATCTCAGATATACAGTGATGAACATAATCCTGCTGTAATGCTGACATACTGTTTATATGAGAAGAAATTGCAGTGTTTCATATGTCAGGACATTGCTTTTATTTAGTGCAAGGAACAGCATATCTGGCATGTAAGTTTTGTATTTTTAGATTACTGATTTGTTGTATGTGACCAAGTGCTTTGGTGCATAGGTACCAGTGTTTACCACAGCCACATATCCCAGAAGATGACAATCTGCAGATGTGTAGAATGTATTTTACATTACACTTATTGAGAATGTTGTGCTTCAGAGCAACTTGAAGTCACTGTGTGAAAGGGAAATAATTTCTGGACACCTGTAAAGATGCTGATATCAATTATCTGATATGTGACCTGTATCAGAGTCAGGTTGGAGGTAGTTTCAGATTGCATATTCAAATATTTGCACTTTCGTCATTTAATTTTGTGTGCAAACAGTATTGGTAATTTGGTTGTATGACTTAGGTTTGGTACAGTTTGTCTCCTTTGTGATGACTTAATACAGGAAGAAGAAGAGGCTCTGAATGCAGTTGGGTATGACGATATAGGGGGTTGCCGAAAGCAACTTGCCCAAATAAAGGAGATGGTGGAACTGCCTCTGCGACACCCAAGTTTGTTCAAGGCCATTGGGGTCAAGCCACCACGTGGCATCTTGTTGTATGGCCCTCCTGGCACAGGGAAGACGCTGATTGCTCGTGCTGTAGCCAACGAAACTGGAGCATTCTTCTTCCTTATAAATGGTGGGTAAACACACTAATTGTGCTGCATGTTAATGCCACTATCTGAAAAGTTACATGAAGTCTACTTGCATTTCTACAGATCTGGAGTATAAGTTGTTAAATGTGTGAAAGTAAAGTTGTCCCTGTGCTTAACTAATTAAACACTACACAATGAAGGCGTATGGGGGAGTGGCTGTATAGACCTACATTTTCTTGGCCTCAACACTAGCTGGAGGTGAGTGGTCAGCTTCGTGCCAGTTGCTTTACCCCTGGGGAAAGAACCCCCCAGTAGCCATTGAACAGGAGGTTTGGTGAACCTCAGAGCCAATCTGGATGATGTGGAGAAGAGAAAATTCTTACCCCTACCAGGACTTGAACTCTGACCCCTCAACTGTCCAACCCATAGCCAGTCACTCTACTAACTATGCTATCCTGGCTTCCTGGCAAATGTGTACTGGGGAAAAAAAAAGTTTCATTCAAAAGTTGTAGATGACTGAAACACATTCTATGCCCAGTACACTCTTTATGTAAATCTCATGGTTCTGAAGATTAACCGTGATTGTACCAGAGTTGTGGTAGTGGCAGACTGTGGGCTGGATTGCTGTGGTTCATTTTGTGATTGGTGAGATTCTTCTCTTCTCCACAGCATCCAGACTGGCTCTTGGGCCCACCCAGCCTCCTGTCCAGTGGTTACCGGAGTCACTTTCCAGGGGGGTAAAACTGTTGGTGCAGAGGTCACATAAATAGTGGAGCTCTACCTCTACTTCCCCATATGTCTTTATAGTGTAGTGTTGAATTAATCACAGGGACAACTTTTGTAGCCTGTTACAGTATGCTACAGACCATTCTGTCATGGCACGTCTTACATGTTTGCTCTGCAAGAAACATTCGGACATTGCAAGCTCTGATCTCATGTGGACTTGTACATTCTAAATCTTGCATCACTCTTGCCAAAACCCAGATCACAGTGTGAACTGTGTATGGTGTCCATACACATGGTGTGACACAAATTGCCACTCGTGGAGTTGATTTCATTGCTTATAAATCAGGAAGAACTGATATAGCATTACTATTGCTGAGATGTATCAAAGCATGTGTGTCAGTTACCCCTACCTCTCAGTCAGTCATTTTAAATGATGGGTGTGTAATGTAGGCTCTCAACCAAGATATCTGGCCTTATTTTTGTGGGTATTTTATATCATAGGACTTTTGGACCAAAGTAGGAAAGACGGAGTAAAACAGGTATCAGGGTTCCCACTCCGCTGCACTGTGCAGACCATCATGCTTGAGACAAGCATACGCCTCACCCGTGTATATGGCATGTGCTTGCAGGATTATCAGACTACCCAGAATTGATAAGGCCTGCACCTTGATGTGGGAAACAGCATATGACTCTCACGGCAGCTACGTGAGGGAAACAGGCGTGTCATTTTGACTTTGTTATCTTATGACAGCTACATGCCTGAGACTCTTGCTTATACCAGTTGCAGATATGAAATTCCTGCAGTGCTGTGATTCATATTTTGTTTGATTTATGGTGCTTTTTATTTCATATTTTGAATAGGGCACAGTTATAATTAAATGCCATTATTTCATTCATTCAGGCAGTGATGGCCTATTGTAAGAATTTAAATCTGATACCTCAAAAGTTACAGGGAGTGAAGGCACCTGAATTGTTATAATTGTATGTTTCTTAAGCCATCCTCTTTTTTACATTTTAGGACCAGAAATTATGAGCAAGCTAGCTGGAGAATCTGAAAGTAACTTACGCAAAGCATTTGAGGAGGCTGATAAAAATGCTCCGGCGATTATCTTCATCGATGAACTGGATGCTATTGCTCCAAAACGTGAAAAGGTGTGTGAAGGATGTCATCTTCAGTTATGTTTTGCTATGAATGCTGTAACAGGAGTAAGAAAGAACAGTGAGAATGTTAATGCAAACTTAGCTGAGCATTTTCCAGAAGAAATCTGCTGTAATACAAAGCATTTTATTTACACACATAGAACATAGGCAGTATGACATGGAGGAGAGGGTGCCAGTGGGGTCCGGACCCTGTGCAGCAGAGGGCCCCCTTCTGCCTTCAGGCACCTCACATATGCACATGTAACTATAAGTCTGTCAGAATATCAGTCCTGAGTCATCAGATATATGAATGAAAAACAAAACTGTTGTACAAACCATTTTATTTATTTGACCATTAACCAACTGCACAATTATACAGTTATTTTTATTTTGGGGAGGTTACTGTGAAGTAAAATTGCCTTTGAGAATGTTCAGCGAATGGGTTGACCTATGCCATATTATGAGACATCTTAGTTACTAGCACTCATCTTTCTGGCATGGCTTTATTTGAAATTTGAGAATATCACTGAAAGAAGTGAGTGCTACTGCCTCTCACAACATAAAGCTGTTCATGATGTTCCAGCAACAGCATTGGTTACACTCCATTCACCCCCGTTTACCATGGGAATAGGGGTGCATAATTGACAGTTCGTAGCCTAGGCCTTTACATTAACATTAAAAGATTACTAGATTCCATTTTCAGCATACTTCTGGTGTTCAAACACCAGTGGGAAATTCTTCCATAAGGATGCCTGCACAAGGTATGACACATCCTTGTTCAGAGAGTATATGGATTTTACCATGAAAAATATACAAACAATTGATTTCTTTAAAAACCAGCACAGAAAGGTATCAACTTTTGTTTCTGTGCCTTCCTGCTCTGGTATATACTTTGTTTTGCTCTGTTATCTGTGCACTGAGCTTGCTGAAGAGGCCCTTGTTCATGGAATGCCTGGTACAGTGAGAGACCTAAGGTCTTTTGTATGAGGGAGAGTCAGTAAGTAGGACACAGATGGAAGTAACACAGCTGTAATGGACATAATAAATTTTCTTTTTGTATCACTAGGTAGCACAGTCCAGCTGCACGACAGTCTATGTAGCAGAGTTACATGCACATGTACATAGGTTGGTTTTGGTAGTCAAGGTGGTGCCTGTGTTTGAGGAGAATGCTACCAAAGAGGAGCATTCTGTTGTGCATTTATTGTGGGCAAAAGGACTCAGTACAAATGATATTCATAAAGAAATATTTCCTGTTTATGGTGGGAAGTGTTTGTTACATAAAGTGGTTCACATCTGGGCGGCAAACGTTTGGCTGATGTCTGTGAGGTTGAAACGGAGACATGGAAGTTGCAGAGACAAAAGTCAAAAGACTTCTATGCTGCGGGTTTTGATGCACTGGTAAAGCAATGGGACATGTGTATCAGTGTTGGTGGAGGATGTCTAGAAGAAAATATGTTTTTCCAGTTTCAAATATCTCATATTTTACATTTTATATCCATTTGTGACCTATTTATTTACTGACTCCCTCTTAGTTTTACTTTGTCCCTCAAGGCAAATGCTAGGATAGTGCCTTAAAATGGGTAACTACTGCTTTCTCCTCAGCCCTTTCAGGTTCAGTGAACCCAGTCCTTCCTTCATACCACTTGATGCTAAGTTCATACTTTGTAATTAATTAACCTGTGATGCACCCATTAAAGATACCAAGTAATGTCTACATAATGCACCCCTTTATCTCTGTTACTACCATGAGTAAAACTTGTTTGATTGAAATGTGTACAGACTCATGGTGAAGTGGAGCGACGCATCGTCTCACAGCTTCTTACACTCATGGATGGCCTCAAGCAGAGTTCCCATGTCATAGTAATGGCAGCAACAAACAGACCCAATTCAATTGATGGTGCACTCCGGCGTTTTGGACGCTTTGATCGTGAAATTGACATTGGTATCCCTGATGCAACTGGAAGGCTGGAAATTCTGCAGATTCACACGAAGAACATGAAACTGGCTGATGATGTAGATCTTGAACAGGTACAGATAAGCACTGTTCAAATAATTGTGCAGTAAGCCAGCTGACTGCTGCACTGGAAAGTTAAAGTAGCTGGTAGCAGTATCAGACAGGTCCCTATGATATCTCCATAAGGTGTAATTATATCTGTGTTCAGTTTCATTGGAAAGTCGAGAAAAGTAGAAGTCTGACAAACATAAGAGGCACCATGTGTGAAGGCCTCTATCCATTTTTGTGTGTCTCAAGTGTAGAAACATTAAACTTTTAACAGAGTGGAAGACATTTCAGGCAAAAGTTGCAGGAAAAATTAAACACATTTTATATCCAGCATTTTCTTTCTGTAAGTCTTAATTTTTTTTAGATAATTAAAATGTTCTAAAATCTAGGGGCGACAGTGGAGTGAACAACAGAACTGTTATGCTGTGGTTGCATTTCCTAACCTGTTGAGATTATGTTTACTGACGTTAGCCCAGGCTGCCAGCATCAAGATAAAAATAGTAAACTTCTGTCACATTTAGGAAGGGTTTGAACTTTCTTCTTTCAGATTGCAGCTGAGACTCATGGCCATGTTGGTGCTGACTTGGCTTCCCTGTGTTCTGAGTCTGCTCTGCAGCAGATCAGAGAGAAAATGGATCTGATTGATTTGGAGGATGATCAGATAGATGCAGAGGTGCTCAGTTCTTTGGCTGTGACAATGGAGAACTTTAGGGTGGGTACTATGTCATCTTGGCTGAGAATGAACTTCCTCTGTTTATACCAGTTCACATTCTGATGCATTCTTAATTTTTATACTATGTAGTATGCAATGAGCAAGAGCAGCCCAAGTGCTCTGCGGGAGACAGTCGTAGAGGTGCCTAATGTTACCTGGGAGGACATCGGAGGTCTCGAGAATGTGAAGCGGGAGTTGCAGGAACTCGTGCAGGTCAGTGCTTCCTTCTTGGCTGTTCTGCTGCGATTGTTGGAGAGTTCCTGAGTTGGAAGTTGGCACCTTGACATAAAGAGAGCTTAGTAAAAGGAAGGTTCAAATCCTGTCCCAGATTTTTTTGCAACAAGATATATTTTAGATGTTAATCTAAACAGACACATGAACTTCAAATTGTCACAGACTGCCATTAAGTTGTTATTGTGACTGATGTGATTGGCATATTAATGTCTCATCTCTCATTTAAACCTTACATATGCTTTTTACTTGCAGCCTCACTCATTTGTACGAAAAAAAAAGAAGGTATTTTGATATGGGACAGTATGAAACTTAGCTCTCTCTTGTTCTTATGTGTGTGATGGTAAAAGGCATGCCAGAGAATAGCATAGTAACACTGTCCATGTAGTAGTAAAATGGTGGCAGATTCATTAAGTTCGCTCAGAGGGATTCTAACAGTAGACTTGGGGAGGATTAAAGACAGGAAAGAGTTAAGCTATGTGCTATTCAGTATACAACTGAGTGTGATAAGAGAATTGCCAGATGAAAATTTGGTAGTGACATAATGCAGGTAAGAACTGTACACCTGTGCTGATGATAGTGTGAAGACTTGCTGACTATCTCTATATCTTGCAGTATCCAGTGGAGCACCCAGACAAGTTCCACAAGTTTGGCATGCAGCCGTCACGAGGTGTTCTGTTCTATGGGCCACCTGGTTGTGGTAAGACTCTTCTAGCCAAGGCCATAGCCAATGAGTGTCAAGCAAATTTCATCTCAGTGAAAGGACCAGAATTGCTCACAATGTGGTTTGGAGAGTCTGAAGCCAATGTTCGAGATGTGTTTGATAAGGTATGTAGATGTGTTCCGGCACATTTATGCAAATAAAGGTGCTTACAGGTAAACGTATGGCACAATGGTACAAGCCGGAAGGTCGCGGGTTTGAGTCCCGATGTGATCATTTTTTTTTTCAATTGACCTAATCCTTCCAGCCGCACTATTGCACTGGGGTTGACTCAACCTCTAACAGAAATGAGTACCAGGAATATTCTTGGGGGTAAAGGGTGGCCAGCGTGTAAGGCTGACAACCTTGCCACCATCTGTGAGCCGATTGTCTTAGAAAATGTGGGAACCTCAACATCTCACAACCCTATGGGCCTACATGTTCTGTTACAGGGATACCTTTACTTTTTTTTTTACTTACCCATCCTAGGCAGTGGGTACTGGGGGATCTTTNGCACTGGGCGTGCGGGGTTGGGGGTGCTTTGGTGGGGGGGGGGGGGGTTAAATTGGCCGGGGCATGGAGCTCATCACTCATCTCAATCTAGTAGCAAGGTCAAGAATGGTGGAGCTATACCTCCACTTCCTGATACACTTTTGTGGCATGGTGGTTTTTAATTAAGCACAAGGATAGCTTTTACAAATAAGAGCATGGTTTCAGAATAGCAGGCTGCGCCGTAGCTCAATTGGTTAGTCGCTGGTTTCCCACCATGGCAGCCTGAGTTCAATCCTGGGTCTGGGCAAGTGGGATTTGTGGTGGACAAAGTGGCGCTGGGTTGGATTTTCTCCGAGTACTTTGGATTCCCCTGCGAATTTTCATTCCACCAAATTCTCCATCATAATCACCCAGGGCAGGCTACAATAGGCCCATCAGTGGCCACCGTGCCGACTGGACCCAGTTGGACTCCACCGCCACTATGCAAATTTAAAAAAAAAATGGTTTCAATTCGTTTGTTAACTTACAGGCAGCCCAAGTGGTTAGTGGCCAACTTCTAGACATGGATGCTGAGGTTCAGTCCCAAGATGGACCATATGGGGTTTATGCACTGAACAAGTTGGGCTAGACATATCTGTGTGTGTATGCAGAAGATGTTTGATTCAAATCTTGGCCAGGACACTGGCTGTCGTAATGGAGTTTCCTTTTTGTCATATTCCTCAGTCCTTTCAAGCAAATGCTCGGATAGTGCTTTGGTTAGGACATGCTTGCTTCAATCCTGACGAGTTCCTTGTCATATATATGTCATAACGCCTGATACCCATAGTCTTAATATGGAAAGCATCGTTAACCAACATATGAAAAAGAGGGATTTATGGTGGACGAGATGGCATTGAGGTGGGTTTCTCTCTGAGCATCTCATATTGCCACTACCACTTATCATTTTTCCAGTGCTCCATAATACTAATTGGGCTGGAAAAATAGGCCCATTTGAGGCAGGAGTACCAAGGGTCTGGCTTTATTCCTAAAATAAAATATAATAAATCTATGCAGAGGCAGTGCACGTATTTTCTCAGGTGTCTTTATTACTGAGTGTGTTAGCTGGAAACAGAATTGATCATTGTTTAGTAGACTACTTTTGGATACTGAAGATGAAACAATGAAATCTGCCCAACAGGTAAAGCAGGTTTTGACGAAATCAGTTTTTTGTGTTTGGGCCTCTGGTTTGCACACCATTAGTTTGCTTGATACCATCTGTGTAGTTTTATTTAGAAGTATGATCTAAAAAATTACAGAAATTTAATGAAAATTTTATGAGCCGTTTTTGAAAGAATCTCTGTTTTATTGTTTGCGTCCCATTTGTAGGGTCCCTATTATTTAAAGGTACCCAGTGTGAATATAATTGCTCCAAAAATTTAGGCACTAATGATGCTTACAACCATATGGGTATGTAATATGAACACACCCACGCACACATGCACACAGCATTCCAAAAATCATGTCTTCATTTTTAAGGTTGTTTTAAGTGTGTGATTCTTTCAAAATCTCCTGATTGATTTTTTCACTATCACAGTACTTCTTTGTGCTATGTATAAGAAAATCATATAGGCAGCCCATCTCATCAGGGTGGTGGTATAAATTTTTGAGGTGAGAGAATCTGCAGTGTGATTTCTGTAGGTATTAGTGTTTGTCAGAATGGAAGTTGTAGACCATGCAAATTGAATGTGTGAGGTTTACTGTAGTGTTATACAGTTTATACAGCTGTGATATGCGAGGATTGTGGTTTATGTTTAGGCTCGTGCTGCTGCCCCTTGTGTATTGTTTTTCGATGAGCTGGATTCCATTGCTAAATCTCGTGGTGGAAATGTTGGAGATGCCGGTGGGGCTGCAGACAGAGTAATTAACCAGATTCTAACTGAAATGGATGGCATGGGTGCCAAAAAGAATGTTTTCATCATTGGAGCCACCAATCGGCCAGACATTATTGATCCGGCAATTCTACGTCCTGGTCGACTAGACCAGCTTATCTACATTCCGTTACCAGATGAGAAATCAAGGGAAGCCATCTTCAAGGCAAATCTGAGGAAGTCTCCAATAGCAAAGGTGACTTCTCATTGGCTACTATTTGTTTTGTTTCCCACATGGAAATTTTCCATGCCAGTGTGTTTCAGAGGTCTTACAGCAAGTGGATGGATCGACTTGGATGACCATGTCAGGACATGCATAGCTCTCAGGATGAATGCTCTGGTGGCATTTGTTAGAATGATATATTATTAGGAGTATTACATCTGTAATGTCATGTAAACTTGTATATGATCCATGTTAATGTATGGATTAGTATGGTCTGTTCCTAGATGGCGGTATTGTTTTTGGTGTGTGTGTGTGTGTTTTTTTCCTTCTTTTTCCTTTTTTTTTCTTTTTTTCATTGACAATTTCTGCCGGATAGTCATTAACCACTACAATGTTTTTGCTCAGGATGTTGACCTGGGATATATTGCAAAGGTAACTCATGGTTACTCTGGGGCTGACCTCACAGAGATTTGTCAGCGTGCATGTAAGTTGGCCATCCGTCAGAGCATTGAAGCTGAGATCAGACGTGAGAGGGAACGGGCTAATAATCAAAACCTCGCCATGGATGTAAGTATCAGATTTGCTTCACCTTATGTCATAATCATCCAGCTTCTTGTTTAAATAAACTCTGAGGTAAAACAATTTATTGTAGGCAAACAATTGAAGTTGCTTCGTTCCACTTTCTACGTGTTTCTTTTCTTAAAAAGTGTAAATTCTTTTGTCATTCACAAGTATATGAATCTGTATGAGTGAAGACAGAAGCACTGCCCCCCCCCACTGTCATGCCTTAATTTAAGATTTTCCACTGTGTCACTTTTACATCCTTTCCTTTATCTAAGATTTTCCTCAGTTTAGAATTTGGTAAAGAAAGAAAGCTTATCCTTCTTTTCATTTTGCAAGATGGATGAAGATGATCCAGTTCCAGAGATAACACGAGCTCATTTTGAGGAAGCCATGAGATTTGCTCGTAGGTCTGTATCAGACAATGACATCCGCAAATATGAGATGTTTGCCCAGACCCTACAACAGTCACGGGGTTTTGGAACTAATTTCAGGTGAGGTAATAGTGTACAGCTGTGATACCCGAATCATGTGGTTAAGTGTCAGTGTAGTATTTATTGGGAAACACTTTGTTTCGATTTTTAAAGTCTGAGATACTCCATCCAGTAATGCATTAGAGAATTTATTTGCATTTAGTGTAGAGTATGATGTACAGAAACCTAGTAGTACTGAGTGTAATATACCATCATTAGATCTCTTCAGAATTACCTTTTGTGCTTGTATTTAATACTCTTTTTAAAGCAGTTAAATTGATATTGATGTTGGGATGTATTTATAGAATGGGAAGGAAACAAATGTACAAATTAATCCACGTGGAAAGCATAGATGTAGATGGGAGGTTGATATGAAATACCTGAGGTTTGAGGTTTTCAGGCCTGTGAATGATAAGATGTCAGTCCCCTGGGATGTCATGCTGTGTTGCTTTGTAGATAAATACTAACATTTCACAAGAACCTGCTGCTTCCATCTTCAGGTCAGTCCAAAGGCAGCAGGTTCCTTGAGCACACAGTACCTATGTACCAAGCTGTGAAGACTATGATCTTCATTTGAAATTGTTTGCTTGTTGCAGATTCCCAAATGCAAACCCAGGAAACAGTTCCCAGCCAGCTGGAGGAGATCAGGGAAATTTCCAAGATGATGGAGATGATGATCTCTATAGTTAAATCCTGGCATTCTGTCAGTCATGAATAAGTGAGTTTCAGTTCGACGCCACCGATCATGATGTATTGAACTGAGCCGCAGCTCTCAACCAAACAGATGTATTAGCTTGAAGACTTGTGATACAGAATGAATTGGGCACTCGTATTCAGGATATGGCTTCATTGTGTGCATGAGGTTGTCTGCTAGTGTGTGTATGTGTGTAAGAGTGTTAGAATATTTGTGCCTCTTATTATTAACCACAAGGAAGTACTCATGTTGTTCCTCTCATAGTATAAGAGGTATCTTGGTTTTCAAGTTATGTTAGCAGCATCATTTTTGGTATGTTTCCTTTGTTTTGAATTATGCGATGTAACCTGATTCTGCATGTTATTTCTTCATGCTGGATTATCGGTTGGTCTTGAAATGAAGAGATTCCTGTAAGGCACCTCATTCGAAATAAATTTACACAAAATACAGCAAGTTATTTTTCTGATGTGATTGTGATTTAATCCATATCTTTATGTTTCAAGTGTAAATTACAAAATAGTTCCAAATGAAAGATGTACTTTGAAAAGAAAATGTGTAAGTGTGTGTGTTTAAGCAATCTAATGGTGGTTAAGTAGTACAGAATATTTTAAATACATTTAACTTATTTTTAACGTCAGATATATCTTTGAGTATGATGAGATACAATACCGTGTCTGTGACTTTGGGTAATGGCCCAGTTTCACGCAGCTGGCATGTACATAATGACAGGAACGGGTTGATTTGTCATCTTGGTGCTGAACGAATTCCATGGAACAAGCTGATTAGTGCCATTCACTCAACATAATGCGATGCCAGACTTCGTTTGTAACTGGATCAGTACACAAAGTAAACTTGTAAGGAAAGCTTTAAGAAAAGTTTATAAAGCTCCTGGAACTTAATTTTATGGTAGTTCAGACTGTAATATTGAAGCTCTTGGGACTAAATTGTGCCTAAAATCACCAGGAACTTCTTGAAACTGTCACATTGTTCCATACACTTATTCCATTCTTTGTGAGCACCCTTCACTTATTCATCTGTTGTTCCGTGCCTTTCCAGATCATGATTCCATTCTGTTAGATCCTGTATTAAACATTCTTCAGTGATACAACTGGTGAATCAGCACTTGGACTGACTGGCCATGGATCATCAGCTACATGCAAATATAATATATTGAAGATGTCCTAGTAAGCCTCATTTCTTCTTTAAGAATGGACGTACTTGCCATTCAGCAGTATCTAGTTCCCATTCTGGCGTGGAGTGCTCAAAAGTTGTGTGTTGAACAGTCCACATGAATTGCAGAAAGAGAAAATCTTTTTGATTTCTCGTGTCGTTTATTATTTCATCTCAAAGTTGGAATGTCACATGTGATGTAGCAAAGCCAGAATTGTAATTTTCTAAGGAAAGCATGCTCAAATAACAGTCTTCTGGGATGTGATACTACAGAGCCTGGAATGCAGTCTTCAGTGTTTTGGACAAAAATGCTCCCTCCTCCAGGGTAGGAGAAAGTTGGCACCTGTATGACGGACTGCACACCATCTCGTCTCAAAGGACCATAATCTTAATATATATTGCTGTAAGGACCTCAGATCTCAGGTAAATGTATATCATAGTCTTGTTTATATTTCTGTGGAATCAGCAGACATCAATAATGATGTAGTGCTCAAATGTGCCGTCTAAATATCTATGGGGTAGACATGAGAAATGGCAGATGGTGGTGCTTGATAAAAGGGTGGGTGTATAGTGCAGGCAGTTAATCTTCATGTTGTTGGTATATAGGTGGAGGTACTCCACAATTTATGTGACACTTGTATTCCAAAAAGAGTGACAGACTGTGGAAGTACATAAATCAAATGTAATTTCCCTCAGAAGATTACTGGAAATGTTGATGCTGCAAAAAGTATTAAAATATCTGTTGCACAGTACAGTACATCTTCTTTACAGTAATAATATTATTTACAGTGATTTACTTTGAAAAGCAGTGTTAGATGTTGCTAAGAAATGGAATAGCATAAGATACACATTCTGTTCAGCTGCCATGCTGTTTCAGACATCAAGAAATATATTGACAAGATGTATTTTAATTAGTTTCTAAATTACATTAATTTTTTACATTACATTGCGTTGCATTCCATGGATCAAAGTTAGTCAAAATGACTGTAAGATGTGGAATATGTCATATAAATACAAAACATGTACAGTCCCAGTGGAGTTCTCACACAAGAGAAACCAAGAATACACAGTGATACCTAAGTTATTTTCTAGACAACAAGTATTCATCAACATAGTAGAATGAATGTGTATTTAAGTATCATTTCAGTGCCATTTTAAATCATGTCTTTTCATTCATAAGACCATTGAGATCAGATGGCAGGTTATTAAAAAGTGTTGATCCCAGCATAATATGCGCTTTTCTGAAAGCATGAGAGGTTAGCAATTGGTTTACGAAGACATGAGTTTATATTAATAATATGAATTAATTCTTGCTGTTGTCATGGTAGATGTCTTGCTGAATACATGGATGAGCGATATTGTGGTAGAGTCATTCAGTTGTATGAGGTGATAACTGAATATGGTGATAAAGCAGGTGTAACTGCAGTGGTAAAGAACGGATTGGATCAGAAAAAATCAGCAGTATCTAGTTTTTCATCTGTGGCTACTAATGTAAATGGTTTTGGTAAACCTGGTGGCTGTGAATTCTTTAAAAAGTCGTAGGGTTTTAAGATGTTGTGGCTCCCACATTATCTAGACAATCGGCTCAGAGATGGCGGTAAGGTCGTGAGCCTTACGCGTTGGCTGTGCTCTACTCCCCAGGAAAGTTATTTAATTAATTTCTGGTACTCCTTTCTGTTAAGAGGCGGCGTCGACCCCAGGGCCATAGTGCAGCTGGAAGGATTAGGTCAATTGATAGAAATCCAATGACCTCATCGAAACTTGAACCCAAGACCTACCGGCTTGTAGCACGCTGCCTCAACCAACTATGCTAGTGGGGCCAAAAATGAGCATACTGTTCCAACCTTGTTTAAAAGAACTAAATATTAAGTGTATAGTGAAGTTATATATAATATTAATTTTATGGGGTGGGGTGAATCTGAGTCCCCTTGTTACATCGACCACTATTTGGCATATTATACCAAGCCCTAGATAATAGATGATAATGGAGCAGGCAGGGGAAACCGAAGTACTCTTGAGAAAAGCTGCCTCAGTGCTGCTTTGTCCGCCACAAATGCCACTTGACTTGACCCAGGATTGAATCCAGGCTGTTATGGTGGGAAGCCAGCTATTAACCACCTGAGCCTGTATATCTTGGCTACTTACTTTGTTTCAGCATCAAACTTTGTAAGATAACACCACAAACTGACTATAGTTGATGGAAACTAAAGTTGTCATTTTACTGTATAACCTCATTTCCACTGTCTGGCCAATCACACCTTCACCTCCCACTCATCATCCAATGCAAGATCTATATAAGGGCTTCCAAGTGTACCCTAAGATATCAGTCCTGAAGATGGAAACTGTAATGATTGCTGAAATGGAAAACTGTTAATACACTTTATGCTTGTACATTCAGCAAAGATAAATGCTTTAACAAAATATGCATGTTATCAAAGACCTATTATAACACATCAGTTTGTAAATGAATTTGGCTAGTATTGTTCTCTCAGAGTTGGCATCTGTCCCCCTCATGTGGCTATTATGGACCATAAAAAATTAAGTACAAAAGCAGGGTGGTTTCCAATGGAGTTCACAAGTTTTGTGAAAAACACTCATGGTTCAAATGTTGAAACTGGGGAAACACCCACATGGAGATGTACATAAGGCAGTGTAGTGGGCTCATTTATTCTTTAATGAAAGGAAAGTATGTTAAAGAGACCCAGTGATTGAAAACCAAAGACAAGCAAAGGAGTTTGGCTAGAAATCATACAGTGTAGTTCCCACTCAACAGACTGCCAGTCTTACAAATTTTGTGCTGTTGCTATAATATGTAGGGAATATGAAGTCAGTCATGCACTGATATGCAGTTTGGGTCATGGATTTGCTTGTTGGATTGTAATGTCATGATCACTGGACTAAATCCTCTGTAAGTCAGGATTACTGTGTGTTCAGAAAAAACTGTTATATAATCATAAGGTAAGAACTTACTCTTGTGCAGATTATGCCTACATTATATTCAAAAGACATAACCTCAAATTTCACACAGTTTATAATGTTTCAGAAATATTTCATACATAATCTGTAGGTGTGGGTATGACCTGTCTGAAGACCACCAGGATATGGAAGGAAGTGGTAATGGCATAATTTGATGTACTGTTCTAGCATATGTCTAGAAGGACAGGAAAATTGTGAGAAAACGACAGGACAGGTAGCCAGAGGGCCAAGATTTACATCCAGGTCCTCTCAACACACAGCAGAGTACTGCCCACTGGACAGTACACTTTGATATAAAGGTTCAATCAGCAAGAAGTCCCAACTGTATGAGACGCTATTGGAAAGTTCCTGGACTAGGTCAAAAAAGAAGTGCTGGCTTAACTTACTCAATTTTGGCTGCCATCTCCTTCAAAATAGTCTCCTTGGGAACGTATACAGTGATTCCATCGTTTTTTCCACACTTCAAAGTACCGTGGAAGTCATTTTCCTTAATGCTTTCAAGTACCCCTTGCAATTCCCTTTGGATGTCAGGCACCATTTCAAAATGTCACTCCTTCAGTTTCATTTTCAATTTGGGAAACAGTGAAATCACAGGGAGCTAAATCCAGCATGTAGGGAGGATGGGGAACAATAATCATGTTGTTAGTCACAAACTTTTGTGGTTTTCAGGGATGTGTAAGTGAGTGCACTGTTGTGATGAAGGAGCCAATTGTGGTTGCGCCAGAGTTCTGGTCTTTTTTATCACACATTTTCTCTTGAGCGTCTCAAAACATCAGAGTAAAAGTCAGAGTTGACCGTAGTGTTAGGAGGAACAAATTCATGGTGAACAATCCCTTTCATGCCAAAGAAAGCAATGAGCATACTCTTTGTTGAAGATATAGTAAGATTTATCAAGTCACAGAGAATAAAATGACTGGGGCATGTCAAAAGAATGGAAGATAATGCAATGCCAAAGAAAATGTTAAAAAGAAAAACCATATTCAAAAAGAAGACTCAGGATGAGATGGCTAGATGATGTTGAGAATGACCTGAAGATGAGGAATAGAGAACAGTGGAGAATGGGTGTAGAGGTCAAGGCTCACCCAGGGCTGTAGCGCCGAGTGGTAGGTAGGTATGCTCTTCGTTGAACTCCGACTTTTCGCTCCTTTTTTTGGTCTTGGTGATGTGGGCTCTTCCACTGTGATACTTGTTGCTTTGTTTCTGGACCATAACTGTAAATCAAACTTTTCACCCATTATGACCCTACAGATACAAGTAAAAGTTGGGTCCTTGTTAGCCTTCTCTCATAGCTCAAGACACACGTCAGTGTGCCATTGCTTTTGATCATTTGTCAAGAGTGAGGGAACAAACTTCGCAGCAACTGGTCACAGCAGTATCTGCAAGTTCATGGATTGTTCAGCAACAATCTTCATGGATGAGTTTTCAGATTTTTTCAACATTTTCTGTTGTTTTGGTGGTGCTTGGTCACCTGAACATTCATCATCTTTGGCTTTGAAACGTGACTGCCATTCAAAAACCACTGTCTGGATTAAAGAATATTCTCCAAAAGCCTCAGAATAATTTCGAGGGTTTCGGTAGTGGATTTACCAAGCTTCACGCAAAACATGATGCAGACACGTTTACAGCACAGTGCCTTGTGGCAGACTGATGCAAGAGGGTTGTGGACGTGTGACCTTGGCCTCCCCATCTAATCTTTCACCGAGGCAGTTACAGCAATAACAGTCTGGGAACTTTCCAGATCTTCTGTTGAGCATGTCTAAACCACAGGGATGTCACCTTCACATGTCCATCTAGGCAGATTGGGGAACTGTTGCCACAAAAGTATTCAATCAGAAACAAATTCAACATAAAATTTATTAGGAAGTCATATATTTTCAGGGTCAAAGCTCTTCATCTTTACTAATAGCACATGTTATGTGCATATGCACACAGATTCGTATTGTGGGCACACTTGGTTTCAAGATGTTGCTAACATTGCTATGCTAGAGAGAGACACAAATTCCAGGGTGTGTACTTCTCATGTGATATACATGTTCATACAATAGCAGTAGTAATAATGATAATTTGCATTAGGTAATATCCATCTATTAGTTATTAGAATAATAAATTTCATAGCATAAATAAAATTAAGCTTACAGTTCGGTGGAGAAACCTAAGCTGACATGATAGTGAATATCCTGCTCAAAATTATCCTCTCCTGAAGCCGCCAGTCAATAAATGTGTATTACCTTATACGACAGATATTTGGTCTGGTATTTAAACATTCCAATACAAAAGGAAGCAAACACAACAATGTGAAGGCATGGTACTGATGTGAGATTCCCTATGTGTCTGTTGATATGTTCTTTGTTCCAAGCAGCAAAGAGAGACTTCTGGACTATATGAAACATTTTGATTTTGTGCAGTCAAAATGATTACCACTACATAAAAATAGTGTATTATGGCAGTCTTCAAATCTAGAAACATTTCTTGAACTCAGGTTCAAGAGATATTTTCTTCGGCAATAGACCATATTCTCACATCCTCCCAAATTTTGGCAAGGACATTGTCATACAGTGTTCAAACGTTTACAAACTCATTCTGGCTTGCACCCACGTTCCCCATCAACAGATATGTGAAAACCAACTTTTGATTATTCCAGTGGAAACTGCTTGCATAATCATGTCTGAGACAACAGCATATGACACATAGCTTAAATAAATATGAATTCAAAACACTACTACACCTAACATTACACAGTAACTCATTACTTTATAGAGTGTTTTTGTGGGTACATCTGAACACACATTCCAGTTACGGGATTGGTTACAGTCAGATTTGGATATTGCAAGTAGCTGGCACGAGGCAGCCACACAAAGCAAAGAAATGGCAATAAATATATAAAGATACCATAAACAAGGGTCACTTCGTGACACGTGCCATTTAAATTTTGTTACCTTACACTCAAAATGTTGGCATTCCTGTCATAAAGTACCTGGTTTATGGTAGCACTAACAGACAACTTGAATTCAACTTCTACACACAAGACACTTCTTAAAAACTAAAATGCACAAAAAATGTTCTGCAGTTCATTTTACTAAGATGTTTTTATAGATAAATAAGGTAAAAACGGTGCTTAACTAATTAAGCACTATGCCATGAAGGCATATGGGGGAGTGGATGTATAGATCCACATTTTCTTGACCTCAGCACTAGTTGCTGAGTGGTCAGTTTCATGGCCTGGCTGCTTTACCCCCAGGAAAGAGCTTTTTGTCCTATTAAGAATCTAAGATCTAATAAAAAGTGGCTGGAACCAAAATAGTGATCACAGGTCTTTTGCTATTCTTAAGGTGAGCCTTGGCACATAAGTGATAGACTGTTAAGTCCTACACTATAACAAAAAGCTTCTTACTTTTATGCTATATCTTGTAACATAGACAAAATATATATATAAAAAAAATGCACAGCATTTTGTTTCTGGAATATTACTTCATTATCTGACTTAAGTAAATGTTTGTTAATTTAACTACCAAACACAGCTAAGACTTATTTTTAGGGGCAGCCATAGTAATGATTAAAAATCTGAAGAATGCCACTTTCTAGGATATGGCACCATGTAGATCTTCTTTGAACCGACGTTTCAGCAGCCACCTGCTCACACTAGTTCCTTGCTCACGACTTTTTCTACCCTGAAGATGGAGACAATACGTTCCTCTGAAATGTCGGTTCAAACGATCTACACAGCACCACATCCCAGAAGACAGCATTTTTCATGATCACCACCCTGAAAACCTCCACTCTTACAATTAAAATATGTTCCTACAAATCATTAAACACAACCTACAACATGAAAACCTTGACAGAAATAAACTCTTTTCTATCAAAACATTAGACAACATCGACTACTCAAGGTTCAGGATGTCCACTGCAATAAATAAAGCTGCATGCATCAGCTTTCGTTTGGTAAAGTAAAATATAAAATACTAACATGGATCAACAAATAATAAAATGTATACAGCAATGAGAATTATTACAAGAGTATTGCAAAAGTGAACTGATTTCTAACATTGTTCCAAACTAAGATGAGTATTATGCAAGTTATTTAGGGTCAGATGCATTAATACTGACACACAAATTCAACAGTAACAGCAATCCTTTTCTAAATGAATTTATGGCAAGATGTGAAAACGGTAACCAATTACATACATCCTTTAAATAGTCAGGTTAGGTTTCTAATGCAACAAAATTAATAAAGTGTGCCATTCCAATTGCATGACTAGCACAAACACTTGTAACATTATTAGTCTAATATTATTGCACTGCACGCCTCTTTCCAAAACCCATTATTTTCCAATTCATGCTTCTTTGTACTTAAAAAAACTTGCAAGAAAAATTCACACTGATCCTTATAATATGTTCAGAGTGTAGTAGTAATATGTAGTACCATCCCCAAACCTTTCACCAGGAATTACGACAAGATTTCTACTGGGACGTATTTTGGTAAAACTCAACAGAACTAAACCAAATTATGTTTATCCGCTATATCATTTGCCAGCACTTGGTCAACTACATAATAGAAACAAAATATCTATTGGAATGTGCATTTAATTCTTTCATTATTGCATCTCTCAAGTGCCCAAATTAAAATTTGTGCCCATTTTTTATTATATTCTTAGATGCCAAATGTCTGACCCATTGTGCACAGGATCATTGTGCTCCTCTGGTTCCATGGAAAGCAACATCAAAGGCAGACATTGTGAAATTTTGATACCTTGTCATACAAGACATTCTGTCAGTCTCCATGACAGTATTAGAAACTCTTCTGACATGCTGGCACCTACCACCATAATACACAAGTCTCTGACACAGCATATTAATTTTGAAACTCTTGTCATTATTTAGAATAAATAATAAGGAAGTCAACAAAGTATGAAAATAGGTACATTTAGGACTATTTGCTACGGAGATAATGTTTTCATCGTATATCAGTGATGTTTGTCTTTGAACCGAAGATCCGTACTAGCTGATCTTCATAGTCATCTATGTTCCTCTTCATGATGTTCATGCATGGTCCCAGCAGTCTCTCAAAAGCTTCCACATCAAGGACTGCGGTATGAAAACAAACAAGAATGGAACTTTCACAATACAGACATAAAACTGTTAGCTACCCTGTGCATTAGTGTTGACAGCAGTTTTGTCTCAGAGTTCATGTCTTTCCTCATAGTCTGTAAAAGTACAAAAAAAAAAAAAAAAGGTCCGTGATTTTAGTCCGCAAGCGAACTATACAACGGCATCATAAATTAGGATAAAAGATCAATATTTACTTTCTCATGTATGTAGTATGAGAAAGTACTGTGATGCTGAAAAGGAAACCCAATTTTGAGACTTTTATGGATTTACACATTTTCAGCATCTTGAATAAAAAAAGAACAAGTTTTGGAATGCTATCTATATGTCTATATATATGAATGTGCACTTATTTATATGTGCTACTTCACAGGTTATCTGTCACTCATCAGTGCCTAGTGAATTTGAACATCCTACTTCCAAAAAGACTGGCCCTTCAATTGGGCCTAAAACACAAAACAGAAGCTTTCTCAAAAAAAAATGGCTAATGATTAGAATTTGTTTAATCTATGGAGACCATCTTCACAAATAAAACTACAGAGGTGGTATCTTCAGGAAAATAACGGTAGGCACACTACAGGCCCAAACATGAAATTACGATTTTGTCAGAACAAGCTTCACTAGTTGTATGGATTTCGTTGTTTGGTATTCAGTAACCAACACCAGCCTATAATGTAACAGTGAATTTAGTTTCCAAGGTAACACAGACAAGATCAATCATATGAGAAAGTCTCTGGAATGCTTTTACATCTCCTAAGGGCTACTTGTACTCACAGGCCAATTTTATGTTTCCAACTGCATATGCCGAAGCTGCACGTGGCTTGTGAGTGACTAGTGCCAATTCACCAAAGTATCCTCCCTTTGAGATGCGATTGATCTGAAACACAGTAGTGCTAATCTTCAGAGTCCTCGTCGCCACACTGAACTTCTCACGTTATTGTATGTGACTCATACAGAATGAGTGTCTTGGTCAATATGTAAGCATTTTCATTTTAAAATTAACAGAATCGAAACTATATATGAAAAAAATCCATATAAATACATTATTCCTGTGCAGAAGTCATCACAGTATATATAAATTCATCTGTCTCCCACAATAGTACTGTGCCCATCCATCTCAAGCAGACTGTCTGTCTTTTTTAACTCAACTTGAGTTTAATGCCAGAGTGGATGTAAGTTCATGTAGTGAAATAATGTTCACACAAAGATTTAAACTTATCCTCTGTNATTCATCTGTCTCCCACAATAGTACTGTGCCCATCCATCTCAAGCAAAGATTGTCTGTCTTTTTCAACTCAACTTGAGTTTAATGCCAGAGTGGATATAAGTTCATGTAGTGAAATAATGTTCACGCAAAGATTTAAACTTATCCTCTGCAGAGAAACGTTCAAGTATAGGGAGAGATGACATGAATTTTTATATTTTCCTGTGACAATGTGCCCTTTCTTGTAATTTTCACTAACATTAATTTGTAGCTGTTAGGTATGAGGTTAGAAATAAAAGGATAGGAAAGAGTTAAGACCGACTGGTATGAGTTCACAGATCTGCCTTCGATGCTGCATCTGGAAATTAGAACTTTTATGGCACATTATCTGACTTGCTGCTGCTAACAGTCCTTTTTCTATTTTAATCTTACTGAAAGCACATCACCTACCTCCACTTCCTGCCCATTATCTCCAGTGATTGTAATCTTTACACTTCCTTCCTCCACAAAGTACATTCCATCAGCTGAATCTCCTTGCTTTATGATCATCTGCCCATCAGAATATGGACGTGGAGCCAGAGCATCTGCAAGGTTCATGCGCTCGTATGCCTGGATAATGAAACAAAGTTACTTTCTTCACCCCTCTGTGACTAACAGGCAAATAATTCTGTGGATCTTTCCAAATGGTATCCTTTGTGCATGCATCCTTACGTGATGTGTATCCCCTCCCCAACGAGTGATGCACACACATTTCCAATTTGCATCTGCGTAACTTAGTGAAGTATAACTTCAATAATGTCCCAGTCAATGTTCTTTAGTGAAATGTTTTGTCCATTGACCCATATAAAAGAGATATGATGTGAGGAGAAGATGACATTGGGACATCTAAATACAATGCAACATCAGGTACCATGGAACAAAATCTCTGTTATTTGTTTCAGTAATACCTGAAGGGCCTTCAGCATTGGAACACTCTCTAGCAAGGACTCATACATCTTCCTCTTCTTGAATGCACTTTTCAGGAGTATGCGGCGGAACGTTTGCCGGTCCATCCCCCACAGCGCACCCTCGGAAGCTGCTTGGATGGTTGCAGCTCGAGGCATGTTATACAAGAGAGCCAGTTCACCGAAACTTCCACTTCCATCATATGTGTGGACACACTTTGGTTCACTGCCTGGCTCAGTCGACACATATGCATCGAATGTTCCACTGAAAAGCAAACCAGTATTAGCAACAGCTTTACTGACCAGCTGTCCCTTGTTTTCTTCAAAGTCTGTCCTTAATTCTCTATTCAGCAGGCTTGTGATCCAGTGGCCTTTACTTTTCTCACAGTGTTTCTAAGTGTAGAGGCAAATAGTTGTTCAGCTGATTAACGAATTGTCCACCCTTTATGGAACCCAAAGGTTCATTACCATGGTCACAAACACCTACCACTGGTCCCTATGCTGAGCGAGATGAATTCAGTACATACTGTCTGTCCCTATTTCTTTCAAATCCATTAGAGTACTAGCCTCCCATCAATGTATTGCCCTTCCTAGTAGTTTCTTCCAGTCAGGTTTCTCATAAAAAAATCTGTATCTTTTTCAGCATTCCCTAGTGTACTACGTGACCTGGCCGTGTCACCTTCCTTGATTTGAATATCCTGGTAACATTATAAGGCTCCTCATTATGTAATTTTCCCCATTTTCCTCTTGCTTCCTCTCTCTTAAGGCAAAATATTCTCTTCAGTACCCTGTTCTCTGATAGTCTCAATTTATTTTCTTCCCCTTAATATCAGGTCTCGTATACATACAAACCAATAGGACCATACTCTCCTTACCATTTAGCTTTACGAGCATCGTCTTATACAAAGGCATGCTGACAGGTATTTCACTTCCAAGACCTTCTTCAAAGTTTCTGCAATTTCACTTACCGCCCTATGACATAGAAATTATCTCCATCATCCCCTTGCTTGATCACATATTCCCCAGCTTTCACAGTCTTCTCAAACATGGCATCCAAGACATCTTGCATTTGTTCCTGAAGCAAAAATCATACAGTCTGCCATGTCCTGCTGTTACCTAAATAGGAATCCACAGTAAAAATGTGGCAATATAGCCAACTCACTTTGTCTAGTGCTCTGAAGAGAAGTATATGCTTCACACTCTCAGCCAGTCTCTCCCTTTGTTCATCTGACTTGGGATAAACCACCTAGTGACATAAAATCCACATTTATATACTTCACACAGTTTAAAGCATCATTTAAAAGGTCACTCATGACTCTGTGGCAACAGCCTACTCATCAAAAAAGTATTTACGCATGTATAGGCTGCACATTTTTTGCCAAAAATTCAAGAGGAAAACTGGGGTGCGGCTTATATTCGAAATCACACTTCATTTAAAAAAAATTATATTCATAATTAGTAATACAGGGTGTAATACTCCTGAAATAATATTCCAAGAAAATTATTTTTTCTATAATTTCTGTCTGAAAATTGTGCTGCAGCCTATACACGCACGCGGCCTATACATGCGTAAATACGGTATATATGAAAGTGTAACTTTCCTGTTTCCTGCTACAGACATAACATAAAACACCCAAAACAGTAAAAACTTCACTCTGTACACCTGTCAATATGTACGGTGGCCGTAGCTATTAAAGTGGTGTTCAAGTGTTGAGGTACCGTTTTTGGATGTGATTCAAATCGTTATTCCGCATAATTTTGTTTAATTATAGGAGTAAACTTTAATTTATCAATCTGCAAGTTATTCGTTCTTTACATTTACATTTATTTTCACTTTGTGGATATGATCGTCTTCCCGTAGGGCTGGATATAAAACATGTCACATATTATTTAAAGTTTTAGCTACTATATACTGTGACACTGACAAGAAAAGCAACTTCTACCATTGGAATCTGGTTTCTCATAATAGTGGAATAACAAAAGAAATCATAAATTTATCCAAGGACACAACAAGCAAGTGTTTATTAAAATAAGTATCTACTTCTGAGCTAACCCTACCTTTGCTCCCTCATCATCATCTTCATCTTCTTCTGGATTGTATGTTTCAGCAAATACAGATTTCCGACGAGATGAAAATCGTGTCACTGGTGGTTCTGTTGAACACAACAAATTAACATGAACTACTTCTTTCTCATTATCACGTGTGAAACATGCACCGAATATGCTTTCATCATTAACGTTAATTACTGTTTCAAACTATAACACTGAAGCATTATACCATGACTCACACAGGGACAGAGAAACATTCCCATCTGACCCATACATTTTATTCATTCTTCATATATTTTCCCATTATTACTTTTCGGCAACGCTACCAGAATGCAAATAAATATAAAACTGTACCTGTCACATAATACTATTACTACATCGCATGTTCCAATGATAATATAAGATTCATAATTCTGCTGGCCTCTTCATCCATCAACAACTAGCTATAGCTTACCTTCTTCTGTGGATATAACTGATTCATCTGGAGATTCCACGGTTTCCCCCAATCTCATACGATTAGCACGATTTTCTTGCAGCTTGTGGAAAAAATCCACTGCATATTCCACAACGTCGCCAGGTTGTTCTAATAAATAGCTTATCGTGAACTCCAGCAGCACATCTCGCAGCTCGTCGGGCACTGTAATTCTTCCACCTTCGGGTCGACTCATTTCTTGCAGTACCTTCTACTTTCCACCACTAAATAGCAACATTCAACAGTGCAGTTATTTATGACTGAAATACTGCCTCAATCTGTAAACACGACGCTTTGAAGACGTTACTGCTAAAAATCAATCCCGATTCCCGACCCTGATTGCCCAGTCAGTCGTCAACCTTGTCAATTCCTTCTCACTGCACAAGCCATAAAACAGGTAACACAACTCAGGAAACGCTGCTTTAGCAACGTATATATGAAAGCAATGGGAATTTTGAAAATACAATCGGATTTATCACATTCCAAAGCTTCAAGAAAATACAATATGATATTAATATTTCACACAAATATAAATGAAATTAACAATTACTAATCAATTCTAAAACTGTCTGCTTGAGACCCAGCGAAGATGGCGGCTGATCGCTAAATGCCAATCACCACGATCGAACTTCACGCGAAATGACTTACATATTAAAATGAGTGAAAGAGGTATCTTATGATATATTTTATGTCAATTAACTGATTTTGTTTAATTTACAACTCAGAGACGTAAAACTTGAAAAAAAAATCTCCGAACCGTACCGAGCACACTCTAGTATTCGATAGTAGAACCATACCATATTATGATGTTTTGATCGTTTTGTTACATTTATTATCGCTTATAATGTTACTTAGGCTCACAAGGTATTTGGTTATGAATGGGATGTAAAAGAATTTGGGATTTAACAGATGCAAGAGTAAGTGTGCACCGGCACTCCAGCACTCTGTTTAACCTGAGCCTACATAGACCATGAAAAAAGATTGTTTATGAAAATCGAATATGATGGAAGATGCACATTTAGAGACTTTTCTGCTGCAAGTAGATTATATTAAATACATTCAAAACACTATTACAAATGATAAAACAAATCTGACCAGTGTGACTGTTGGAGCTATTACTGCTTCACCTCTTAGCACCCTAACATGTTTCGGTCCCTATAGACCATCATCAGAGGGAACATCAATACTTTTAGAAATTACTATTACTTTGTTTTGATTTTTAAAATACATAAATATACGATATTTGTAATATATACTTTATATTGATTTATCATTTGTAATATTGTTAGTGTGACGGACCAGAATGAAACAAATCAAATACATTTAAACATTTTATTATTCACCAAAATATATAAAATAAGTACTTCTGTTTACATTCTACAAATTGAGCAAAACATTTCTCTGGACTGTAAATATTTAATGAGGTATACCCATCTCCATCTAGTCCAAAAGTCTAGTTTGTAGGGTGACTTTAATGTCCATGCCTTGGTACGTCTTCATGTCAGTGCTTAGTCAGATGTACAATTTTACTTCTGTGTTATTTGTAAATGTTGCATCTGTAATTGGTATATAATTTTTGGAATATATTTTAATATGCTATTATAAAGATAATTTAATGGAAACAACTTCAATACTGTCTCATTTCATACTGGATGCATCCTATGACCATCTAGCTGGAACAGGACATTGCATCTTATTTCTTGCATTAGTTGTATTTGTGAATGTTTCAAATGAACTGGCAATGAAGCCTGTACTGCTTGTCTGTATGACGTGGAAAACTCAGCTACAGACATGTCAAGTACAGTTGTCACATGACTTCTTAATATGAGGTTGCTGTTCATTGCCCTGGCCAGAATAGTTCTGGGGTGCAATGCAGCTAATCACGTATTCCTCTTTCAGGGGGTGGGTGACAGTATTTCATCTTAAACCCATACCATCAATATACTTAAGCTTTATGGGCTACGCACTTCCCTCAGTGCAAAACACTAAATTTTCAGATCACGTCTTCAATTGGTATACAGAGGCAATGAGGAGTCCATAGGTGATGTCAGTTTAAAAGATTTAAAGATTAAGATTTAAAAGATTAAACCATACTTTTTCCTGAATATTTCTATGTTTAATCACAAGATTAATTGAAACAGCGATTCCCAAGTTTGACCATCAGTAATTTTCATGACTAATAAGTACTGGTAGAGTATGCTGAAAACCTTTCTTACTCTTGAGACAGATTTTGTTTCTTGTAACTGCATTGACAATTTTTTACACAGATGCTGTCAGTCTGTGCTATAGAGTTGCAACCCTTTACCTTCACTTATTGGAAAACGTATACCACAACAAAACTGATGGATGAAATGTGTCTTTGGTTACCTGTGGAAGAACATCCAATGAGCATGTTCCCATTTAATTGGTTGCTGTAAATTAAGGTAATCACATCTTCCTCATGCTGTGTTGTAAATTGTAGATTAATAACAGTCCTTTTTACAGTATTTGTTTTATATATATATATATGTTTTAGTAAGTTGTATGGCCACAGAACATAGTTCTAACTTTTAGGTGTGGCCACAGGAACTTTTTTTCATGAGAACTGCTGAACTAAAGCCCACTCATACTGTATATGAATACAGAAAACATAACTGAGATGTTTTGCTGCAGTTTTAATCTGTGAGATATGAGATTCTCATGGCAGTGAGTATGAAGGTCACAGCCTTTGGATGTGACTTTCTTTAGTTTGGATGAAAAGTATCAAAATTCCCCCATCTTCATGGTAGATAGCCTGAAGATGGAAGCATTAGGTTCCTTTGAAACCCTGGTATCTATTTACCAATCTACATGGTATAAAATCCCAGAAGACTGTACTCTCCACTCTGAATACACTTTCAGAGGCTGGTTTGAAGGTGTGGTAGGGCAAATCAGCTTCTGCCAGATTTACTCTATCTAATGCTGCCAGAGTTGAGAATGCATGAAGCATCCTAACAGTACAAGAAAAACATTAATCACAAAAACCTTTATTATGCAGTTCTCTCCAGTAGGAATGTAGTTATCAACATACAAAAACAATATGAATGTATAATTTCAGTAATTATGTTTATAACATAATGCTACAAAGAGCCATTTATCATAATAAAAAAACAAATGCTTTATCATGTAGTCACCAATTGTTATTTTTCATTTTACAAAGAGACAGGTTATATCAACAAAAATAGCAAATTTATCACAAGCTACTTTGCTATATGAAACCTGAGGAAAAATGAATGGCAACATGGAGACGAGGTCGGAAGTAAGACTGCCAAGGTAACAAGAACAGTCAGAAGTAAGAACGATACAATACTAAAAGCAGCTCATGTTCCAGTACATCTGTGTCACAGTGCAGTTACTTTGCATCTGGCTCCTTCTCATACACTTCCATGATCTTCTCCATTATCTCCCACAGCTTATCTTTCTGCAAGTCCTCAACAAAAACCTGTGGAGAGACAAGAACATCTAAAAATATAGCAGTGTCTTGCAGAAGTAAAAGATCCTAAACAGAAGTCATGGAGGGAATCCTAGGGATTGATTCCCTCCAAGTCTCTTCTAAGATCTGACAATTCTCCACTCTGTCAAAATTCCTTATATTCCCCTCAAGTCGCCTAGTCATTTTGTTCATACAGATGTTGTAAATAATATCCTTTGTTACCAACATGCACTTTGGGTTGGTTGATATAGGTTAAATGGGGCTGAAGTGGACTGCAACAGTGAGGTTAGATTGTTACCATGGGACTTTTTCCATATCCTCTATTTAGAAAACTTAAAAAACTGCATTAACAAATATATAAATATAATATTTGGTATTGTTCACTAAATGATGAACCACTGTAACATAGCTTTAGGGAATTGTTAGAAAATATGCAAAAGTAGTCACCCTAGTGACTAGAGCATTCAAGGAATTGTTTTGTCCATAGCAGCAGAACCATCTGTGGAGCCCAGCCAGCTTTCTATCCAGTGGATACTCAATGGGCCTCTTTCCCCAGAGGTAAAGCAGCCAGGCAAGATGCTAACCACTCACTTCCATCTAGTGCCTCCAGTTCCCAACACATCCTCATGGCATGGTGCTTAATTAAGTACACAGATATCCCTACCTTCACCAACTATGTGACACACATTTCATGTAAATGACAATCTGAGCTCCAGACTTGAAATTCTACAGAACCTCATGTATTTCTTTTTTAATTTCTAGTGGGGTGGGACCAAGTCCCTTGCACTGCGGCCACTTCTGGCCTATTGTACCAGCCCCAGATGTTAGGTGAGGGTGATTGTGGAGCAATTGGTGGAATGAAGATTGGCAGCGGAAACCGAAGTACTTGGAGAAAACCTGCCCCAGTGCCACTTTGTCCAGCACAAATCCCACTTGACCAGACCTGGGATCAAACTCAGGCTGCCGCGGTGGGAAGCCAGCAACTAACCGCTTGAGCTATGGCGTGAACCTCATGTAAAGAACAAAACTCTAGAGAAAAGTAACATAGTTCTCTGTTTCCTCCACATTTATTATCAAAATGTAAGAACCTGGAGGTCTGGAGATAAGGCACAGGCCTCCTATCAAAGGTCTTGGGTTTGAGAATGGTAGTGTGCCTTCCCTATCCCTCACAAAGCCAAAACAGCAGGCCCAAATATGACTCCAGGTTCACAAACTGCATGTCCTCACCACCTTAATGTGTTAATATGCCATTACGCGCACAGAATTGTCCCCTACCGTGTTCTTCATCCATGCTACTTAGGCAGAAGTCAGATAAGTCTGAAGCCACCAAAAGAAATCCTAATTTTCATGTGGTGTCTGGGTCATGTCCTTGTGCCTAATCATCTCAGCATAGACACATATTATGCTGCCTGGGTAAAGTTTCTCATATGCTTTACCTAGACATCTGGTGGAGGACCATGGTCAACTTCATGCTCCAGTGACTGTCCCAATGTATAGGAATCTGTGTGGGCTGAAAAGCTGGTCTGAATCTGGCAGGAAAGAGGAAAATTTGAAGCCTAGTCACGCAGTATGTAGACCTACTCTTTATGAAGCCATAGAGCAAGCAAAAAAGACCCAAAATCACATCAGAGTAATTAAGTATCAGAGTATTAACCCTTACCTACTCTATGTAGGAGCATTCATAACATTCCTGTACAGGTATAATGTCAGAAAAATTCTGCCCTGTCAATGTAAGAATTTACTGCCACATTACAATCACACGCTCAGTGTTATATCCATGCTCTTCGCATTCTTTGACATGGTACATGGTACTTACAGAGTACCAAGCCACACCTCCATCTGCTTCATCTGTGTATGGCACCTGCACACCATAACATTGAAGAGCCAAATTGATACAAGCCACAGCTGTGTGCTGGGGTGTGTAGTCCAGTATTGCCGCATCAAAATGGAAATCCTACAAAATGAAAGTTGTGACATTAAAAGGACTTCATAATCTTAAAACACAAGTATTAATAGCAAGGAATGTATGCAAAAATGAAAATTGAGACCTGTATGAGATAAAACAAATGGAGAACAGATGGAACTGCAAATTATGTATAAGTACATGGAACTCTGCAAGGATAAACAAAAGCAGATTCCAAGCAATGGGTATGAAATTTGTAAGAAATATTGAGAGGAAACAAGAAGGGACAGAAATAGAAATGAAAGTCTTGGGGAAAAGTTGGGATACAGAATTTGGTAACAGGTTTGGATGAGAATTAAAATTTAAAAGAACGGGACATATGGGATGCCCCAAATCAAGCCAGTTTAGTTATGCTTTGGAACATGTCAAGATGGGCAGAAAGAGCTGGTAAGAAATCAAAATAGACTGTGTGATGAAGAAAAAGACTTCCTGAACAAAGAAGGAAATTATTTTAGAAGAAAACACTAAAGAAGAAGGTGAAGGCAAAGTGTGTATTATGGATTGGACATATATTTAAAATAGAAGAAGAAATGTGTACTGAATTTTGGGGAAGGAAATCTCTTGGTCAGTGACCACTTTGAATACCAAGATAAAAGCAGAGGTACCACATTAAACTGCATCTTAAATAAGAATCAGCCCTGAGATAGGGTCAAGTGGTGGGCTCTTTAGTTAGTGTGTTCTGGGTTAGTTTCTGTAATTGTTTACCTGAAGAAATGCAAATGATGCTTTTACAAGAGGGACCTTGTCCCACTCTTCCTGTGGAAACCAACCTTCCAGAGACTTGAGATAGTGCAGCAGGTACTGAAAGAGAACCAACAGATGGACAAATTATGACCCAGTCCACGATACTGCTATTTGCCTTAAGGAAATAGGAAAAACCATGAATACCTATGCAATTTCAGCACTTACAATTCCTGTCAACTAGTTATAATTTTCACAGAACTGTTGAATCTTTACACCAATGTTTGTTAAGAACTGTGGACACAGCAGCAATAACCCTTCTATATAATGCTTATTGCATCCTTCAACTCCACTAGTTTCAAACTTTAAAGATTAAAGGGGTGGGCATCAAATGACTCTTGCACTGAGACTCTTTTATTTACTATTTACTTCCATGCCTTCTCATCAGTAAAGAGTAATCCTACTGAGAAGACCCAATTCTGGTTAATAAGACTTCCATATCAGTCATGACACTGAACCTAACCAACAGCATCATCTAAACGTCTCCATGCCAACTCATTACTTCTTATTTCCAATTTCTGAGCACATTCATGTAGCAGTAACATTCTAATCTTGTACTGGGGACACTATCCTGACTGAGAACTCTCATGTCCTTCCTCAACCTTTCCAGACACACATCAGGATAGTATCACGACTTACACACACCGTACTCCCACATTATGCAAGTCTGATTTAAATTGTGGTCATCTGGATTATGACACTGTGTGGTGTCACAATGCAGCAGACAGCCATCTAAAAGTTGCTTCATATTTACACAAGAGCATACACGTGCACATGTAATGTGTGTATCTGCCGGTTCTCACAGAACTTCTCATAATGCAAACTTTGCTGACATTTAACCTCCCGCTTCATGGCCCCATTTGATCATGCAATTACAAGTACTTAATAAGAAGCCATAGACTGATGGCTAAATCATTAGCAAACTTAAATAATTGAATACTTATGTTAATATCCAGTCAACATGAATCCATTTTCTCCCTGTTCTTGCAGTGAAATAATCCACTCACTCTATGTGGATGAACAACGGTGACTTCGAACTTCAGCATCCTCATGATCAGCAGTTCTGCCTGGACAATGGCATCTCTCATGTTCCAGTACTCATCTCCTAGTTCCAGAGGAACTGACCCCCTATGAAGTGTGTTGTGCGTAACATTTATAACATCCCTGATTTTGAGCGGGTCATCCTTCACTTTCCCTGCCAGGTAGAGTGTTGTCGCAGCTATAAGCTGCAAGCACAAACATTGCAATGAAGAGTACTATCTCCTGGGATTCGCCACTGTGTAGTGATGTTTCGGGGGAATATACTGCAAGTTTGCCTTACTTTTTGGCTCTTGAGATGGAGTCACTGTAAATAGTGGTAAACCTCTATCACACTTGGTGTCATCCCAGAAGACAGTCTCTTCATAGGCACTGCCAGGAGGATCTCAAATTTCAGAGACATCACAGTGTATCACACACATGTTTATGTCTTGCCTTTTTCCAAGGAATGTTCATCATCTTTGGCATGACATCCACATATGACAAATTGCTGTGACTGTAGAGACATTCACTATATTCACATATGAAGTCTGTGCTACAACTTTTCAAACAAACTTAGTTTTCAGCCACACTGGTCTATTACTGTTGCTAACGGACAGACTGAAAGTTCTGTGGGTGATAAGAGTCCCAGAGATGTAATGTCAAGTAGTTTGACCAAATAGGCTGCTGTATCAGTATCACTCTAGATGTGTATTTAAAGAGGTCCTCAGTTCAAATCTCAGTTTAGACAATGGCTATCCTGAATGTGGTTTCCTGTGGTTTTCCTCAGTCCCTTCAGGCAACTGCCTGAATAGTACCTGAATAATACCATAACTGCTGCCTTCCAAATCCTTTCATGTTATCAGTCACCCTATTATTCAGTGCTATATACTCTCAACACTGAGGACAATGTAAAGAAATGGCCCACATCAAGTAGTGTGATAGGTAGCAGTCCTTCAGGACAGAAGGTGGACAAGGCATCACATCTCAGAAGAGAAGTGATCACAACATTCACTGCTGTAAAAGCCTCAAATCTCAACATCTAGTGCTCATCACTTCCATTTCAGTCCCCTTCAATTATTAAATTTAACCAGAATTTGTACCATAGTCTGAAAGATGAGAGGTGCATGGACAGACATAATTTCTGCAGTATGTACTCACTTTATGTAAGAGATCAACAAGAAAATGGTTTACATGAACATGTCTGCAGCCTGTTCCTGTACCAAATATTACACTGACATATCACGATTACAAGCCTGATAGCATATCTGGTACAGTAATGGGCTACAGGCTCAACGATGACAAAATTTGGGCTTAATTCCTTGCAGGAGCAAGAGATTTTTCTCTTCTCCATAGAATTCAGACCAGCTCTGGGGCTTATTGAGTGGGTAATGGAGGCTCCCCAGGGGCAAAGCAGCTAGGGCATGAAGCTGAGCACCTGCTGCATCTAGTGCAGAGGTTAAGAATCCATGGTTCTTTGCCTCCATTCCCCCATACACCTTGATGGCATGGTTCTTAATTAAGCACAGTGACAGCTTTACCTTTTACATTTACAGTTTCCTAAAATCTGACACCGTGTACTATGGTAGATAGGTACCAGTGTTTCAGAGGAAACCATTTCCACCTTCAGGGTAGGACAGTAAATATGGAGGCACAGAATTCCTCCAAAATGTTTGTACCTGTCTATTAAGATATGTGCCTTGCCATGAGAACCTCAAATCTCATTACAATGACAACTTTTCAATGGAACAGACTGTAACAAAATTTATTTTAGTTTTCATAGTCTCATTACCTATCCTGAAGTCATAAGTGGATATTATGTTAACCAGGCACCTCTCTTTCAATATGGAATAAAGAAACCAATTCATAATATGGCAGCTTACATAACTGTCATAACCTGCACTGTCTGTTTCCTTGAAAAACCTGTGATACAAGATCGCAGCTGTTGCTATGGTCAGTGGCTGGGCATCTAGTTTGATACCTGAAACAGCAGAGGGGGGAAATCATTCTAAAATACACATGCCTCTGCAGACATTCTGTATACATCCCAATATGCTCTTTTAGCGGTGACCATAAAGAGTGTCACCTTCTGGGATGCGACACCATGTAGTCTGATAGTACTCTATCAGTGTCTCAGAGGAACATATTGCCTCAAACTTCAGGATCAAAAAGTAAGCCAAGCAAGCAACCAGCAAGAAACATATAGCAAGCTTGCCACCTGCTTCTTGCTAGTTGCTTGGCTAATTCTTTGATCCCAAAGCTAAAGGTCATATGATCCTCTGAAATGTCTGTAGACTACTGGACACGGGGCATGACATCCCAGAAGACAGCACTTTTCAGTATTACGGTGATCTTGTACGTCGCCGGCAGCACCCACAGAGCGAAGGAGTAGATTTATAATAATGTAGTTTGAACTCAGTTGCTGCCATTAAGATTCAAAACAAACAAATTAGAGCAGTATAGAATAAGGTTTTGTGCACTGTCTCTGTGACTATATGCTGTGATCTTTCTTGTGAAAAATCTGTGCTTATATGGAGTGAACATTTCCTTCTACATGGTTCTTGCTATCCCCAGACCGATTGAATATGCTCAAACTGGTAAGCTGACTTCTGCTTCCCTAACAACTGTAACAACAGCTGTCAGCACTGCTCACTTTTATAATCGTTAACTAAATTTTCAATGCAGAGTGTTATTTGCATTTCTGAATTAGCTGTATATAGTAAGCTGCTCCCATTATGAAAATATACGTCTAAATTCTTTTCCAAGTTCCATATAGTTCCCTGTGGGTTTCTGGTTTTGTTGAGCATTGTCCTTTTGGAAGATAAGCTCCATATTTAGCAAGGATCTGCTGTTGCTTTTACAATAATGAACTCCATGAAGAAGGGTCTCTTTACAAAGCTAAGGTTCATTCAGTTGATCAAGAAATTCCCCAGCTTTTATGGAGCCCAGAGGTACATTACCCTGTTCACTACAGGATCCTGCCCCAGTCCACAACCAAGAGTCCTTTTAATATCATCCTTCAAACTACATGTAGTCTCCAAATGTACTTTTTCTTATAAGCTCTTCACTAAAATTCATACATAGTTCTCATCCAACAATTGTTGTATATGTCTTGCTTATCTTATACAGTTCATAAATAACAGTTCATATCCTTACCACATTCAAAAATATATCTCACTGCAATGAAGCTGTTCTCTGTTTCCGTATAGTCTATGGCTGGAACTTGTCTACTTTTCTCTCGCTGAAGCTGCAGCACATCAATAACATCCTTCATTTTGGTACAGTTATACTGAAAATTAGACCTTATGATATATATTTCTGCTAGGCAGTGTCCAGTTGATTGAGACAGGATGCAACAGGACCATGATTAATGATGTGTAAATTGAGGGCCATTCACTGCTTGAAATAATGCCATGGCACAATTCATCTCCCTGTTAAATTACAGATAAGTAAAAGCACAGAATGTAGTATTATACCCTCCAAACTAAGCAAACATTAAGCAATGACAAATCTAACCTGCAAGGAACTCTAAAATCCCTATCCTTGAATATGGTACATTGAGGGTCAAGAAACATAGCATGATCATCATGCTTTCCAAAATTCTGAGGGTAAACTCTATTGTAAATATTGTGTTTAAAATAACATCTTATCTGTACAACTTTAAGATAACTCTCTTTAAATATCAAAACCTGTACGTTTCAAACTATTCTAAACTAAACTAAACCATGTATATTTTTGGGCAATAAAATTTATTAAGTTACCGAAATTACTTATACCATTCATATTTATCAATTCTTATGCATAGGCATTTGTCACAAGCTAATCCTAATTGTATGTCAACAATTACATTACCTCTTCTTTGTACTCAATCGTGTAATATCACAGATGGTAGATTTCGGAGCAACCAAAATAATATTATTGTCCGTGCATTTAGGGATCCGTGTGTCAGCCATACCACTGAGTACCACAGAGAACTGATCCATAGCGTACTCAGGAAACTGTGCCCGTGATCCGTGGTGCGATAATACTTATTGTATAGATAGATAGCGATGTTGTGCATGGCTAATGAGGTTAATAGAAAGTAAATATTTGTTGCTCCGTTTGTAAATGTTAATGTAATTTGGGATTCTTCGGATTTCGAGTGATTTTTAACTGCCTTTAAACCAGAATGGACCGAGAATCGAAATATATTTTACGGAAAATTGTTATAGACATTTTGTGTTTATTTATAGGTATGGAAATTGTAGTTAGCATTGGTATTTGTGCATCACACCCATTTCTGTGTACGGATACGTACGATTGATTTGACGTGTCCTTTCGCAGGTAACAACTGGTACATTGTTATGATACTGTCTTAAATAAAGATAGTTACGTTTTGAAGGAAACCTTTCGTTGTAAATAAACAAGTTCACTTTACGTTAACTTAACAGTTTTTATTCCATCTGAGTATTGCTTATACATACTTCAAAAAGGAAATCGCTCTTGCAGCAAGGAAAATCGAAATTGGCTTTGGCTTCACCAGGGGCCCACATATTTTGCTTCATATTGTTTGTTGCTTATTTAAGGACGCTGTCAGCAACTCAGACTATATGATGTCGAATGACAAAATGAAAGTGAATAAAGAATTGAAAAGGATATGGAAAGAAAGGGTCATGATGTAGTTTAAAGTATATACTAGTATTTACCTGAATGGAGTGAGGAAAACCGCGAAAAACGTCGTTGAGGATACATGGTGTCTAGGCCGCGATTGGACCCTTCCCAAATACAAGTTGGAAACATTAGCACTAGAACTAACTTTCTTCATGCTTCATATGATATGTAGGTGTATCTTGAATATTATATAAGAATGATTTTTATGTTTTAAAATTGTATGTACATTACCTTGTTAAAATCTGCTGTAAATAACATAAGTTATAAAAACATTTGTGCAGAAAAATTGTTCCCATTTAAATAACCTGGGAAGCATTGGAAATGTTATTTACATTTTATTAAATTTCCAATATAAGAAAGTTGGTGTCAGAATGTGGGGAAGTGTACCTGTTATAAGATGAAATTTCAGACACCATGTGTCTGAAGCAATGGGAAGATGAACTTCCTTTGTAGTAACTAGCCAGATTCCACTGCAGTAACTTTGGTTTGTTCCAGTGGGGTTTCCAATTCTCCTGTTCTTCCTGTTTGGACAACCCTATAAGAGGGGCTTTTATTGTGATGACGAGTCTCTGAGGCATCCATACAAAGATTCTACCATATCAAGTGCTGTGCTCTATGTGGTTGGGTTCTTTGTACCGTTATCATCGGTAAGATTGTGAAATTAAACAAGTAGAGTAGGTTTTATAAAGTTATGTATTCTGTACATGTATGCTGCATGCAGTAACTTTAGAATGAATTGTTGCCCTAATGTAATAAAACTTGATTAAAGATACAGTATTACAGTACTTGGTGTTTTGCATGGGTGAGAAACTGTCAACTTATGGGAACAACATTCATCATTGTGAGTAGAGGTGTAGGTTTCTGTAGGTGAGTAGAAAAATCCACAAGCTGATCTGATGGAAGGGGTCAACTCAGAACCACCAGAATGAGACTCCATTGTCTTATCTTGAAACTATTAGGACCTCTACAGGCATGCATATCCAGAAAACTATGCTAAAACTCACCTGACCTGAATTTTTGTGGTGGCATCGTATAAGCACCAGATGTACCAGGTTTACCAGCATGAATCATTCTTTTGAAATTACTATATCATTTACTTAGCAGTGTGTATTGTCATGTGATTTTAGTGTGACTGCTGTGAGGGGGTTTTGAATTGATGACCAGATTTATTTGACTCTTTGATACAATGTGTGACTGCACATTAAAGGTCACTCTTACACACACATACATATACACACACACTCTCTCCCTTTTTTGATTCACAAATGGTTCCCAGCCTCTGACAGTAACAGCTAACATTGTCTGAGCCCCAGCAGTTGTCTAACTAACTCACCCACCAACCAACTGAACTGACTGGCTCTCCTGCCACGAAACACTGTTTCACTGTTGCAGTGCAGTTGTTGCATTCATGTCTGCTTGGGTGATGGCATGCTTGCTACTGAGCCATTGCCTGGCAGTGGGTCTACATGCCACAGCATGTTTATAGCTACAATTATGGTTATTCAGCTGTGCCTCAGTCACAGAATGAATAAACAGAATAAAAATTTGTATATGTTGTGATAAGAGAGGTTTAAAAAACAAAAGACATGTTGTGCCCCTCTGGACTTAATCCTATAGTGTAGGAAGGTTGTGCACTCTTCTCCAGTTATAATTAGAATAGTCAAGTCAAGAATGATGAGATGGACAGGGCATGTAACACGAACAGGGGAGAAGAGGAATGCATGTAGGATATTGGTGGGAAATCCAGAAGGAAAGAGACCACTAGGAAGACCAAGACATAGGTGGGAGAGATAGGATGAGATGATATGGATTGGATTCATATGATTCAGGATAGGGACCAGTGGAGGGCTCTTGTGAACATGGTAATGGACCTTCAGGTTCAATAAAATGCCGGGAAATTCTTGAGTAGCTGCACAATTGGTGTCTTCTCAAGAAGGGCTCAGCTTCATGAGTGAGTGAGTGATGTAGGGAGGTATTTTTGTATTAGCAGGCTATCCAAGTAACTTGAAAAGTATGGATTTATCTGTAGAAACAAGAACCAAAGCCTAACCTGAAAGCTTGGCTCCAATATCATGCTTACAAAGTTATGCTTTTGGTTTTGTTTTTAAAAATAAATAAAAATTTTGTAAAATTAGGCTTTGGGTCTTGATTTTGCAAATAAAGGTTTGTGGTTTGGCAGCACCATCAACATGTGGTAACATTTTCAAAGTTAATGCACAAATACTGGAAGGAAAATTGAGAAGTTCATTTTATTTGTGCCTGTAGATGCTGCTGATAGAGTTTGTCCATTATCGGAACACGAACAGTCATATAACTAGGACACTGTTTGGCAGAAATATTCATCCCTGGGTGTGGAACTGCTACAAAGTAATCGGTGTGTTTGGATTTGGCATGGCCTGCTCACAGCTCACCACAGACATTGCCAAGTACACTGTCGGACGTTTGCGGCCACATTTCTTTGCTGTTTGCGTGCCTGATGTGGATTGTTCAAAGGAAGAATTCAAGTACCGCTACATAGAGAATTTCAAATGTCGAAACACAGACAAACATCGGCTTAAGGACATGAGGTAAATGAACGGGCCACTATTACCTTTGGCTGAATCTATTTCCAGACAATGGGCCACATACGATATTTGTGAAAGTTTTGGATGCGAGTGATGATACAGTTTTCTTTGTTATAATTTCTAATTCAGATATAAATTTTGACTGAATATGCTGGAATTTTAGTTATACAGTTATTTTTTTTTTATTATATGGTGTGTGGGGAAATGCAGAATCTTATAATGTTAAGCATTAACCACTGTGCATGAGAGGGTGAATAGAGAATTTAGAAAGCAGAAGTGGAAACTATCGTTTGCATATGAGATGGAACCACAAAATATTAAATGAGCCGTTATCACCCAGGAACAGAAATTGTAAATCTCCCAGTACTGTGGGCTAGGTGGCCATATTTTGATCGGGGTGGGGGTTACAGCTTATCATTTGGGAGCAGAGGAGTGTGAATCTCCCAGTTTTCTAGGGCTGACAGCCAGACCATAGGTATAGGGTAATAGATAATATTTGTGTTGGAGAAGTACAGCAGTAGGCCAGCTGGAACACACATGTACACCAACATGATGTGTTAGGGGCTATTGAAGGTTGGTTATGTCCTGGAACAGTATAATAAAATTTAAAAATGGTATAAGACTATGGTATCCAAATTTTGATAATATCTATGTGAATCTTAAATGGCTGGAGACAGTCCTCCATTTCTTTTATGATTTTAAATACTGTATGTATGAGTATGTGCAGCTCTAGACTTTTCCTTTATTTTGTAGGTTGTCATTCCCTTCAGGCCACTCTTCATTCTCGGCCTACACAATGATCTACCTCGTGGTAAGCATCAGCATTTCCCTATTATTATCATAATTGTAATTAAGGAACGATTTACTTCTGGTGGTATATGAATTTGTCTCAGCACCATGGCAAAGAAAATGGGAATCAGTCAAGGTACATGGAAGCCTCTGGCCATTGGCCCAGGTCGCTTCAGTCCTTTTGAACCTGAAGCGGTCTAGATTAAGTTAAAGTTGTAGGTGTTAAGTCACCCTTGGACTGTGACCATGTGTGATCTGTTATGCCTCCCCTTTGTAAGATAGGCCTGTAGCCATTCTGCAATTGAAGCACGTTTCCTTGCGTAACTGGGTGTTACAGTCCCAAGTGATGAAATATTAATTCATCTAGAACCTTGAAGTCATGTTTGATAAAGTTCAAGTAAATATTTAAAAATTTAGTTTCCACTTCAAAGAAAACATATTGTGTCTGTACTGCAACAGCCAGTGAGTTAATGATGCTTAGGGAAACAATAGCTGTTTATTCTGAAAATCAAAAAAGCACATAAATGCACTATACAGACAAAGTAATTGCTTTTTTAAATGTTGTGCCAGGTGGTATATATTCTAACCATTGTGTTCTAAAGGGATAAATTATATCAGCAGGGCTGTGTTTCCGTTGCATGGTATCTGTTATGCTGATAAATTTGGAGTGATCAGGTCAGTGTTCTAAAGTGAACATACATCTGGAAGGACTGGCCCCATGTTCAGATTTGTTTATATAAACATAAAACGTTTTCCATTTGAGGTCCAAGTTACAGAGTTTGAAGACTGTTGTCTCCTGGGATGTTACACTATATAGTCTCGTCTACACTGCATCACATCCTGGAATGCCAGGTCTTAAACTCAGCTCACATACACTGTTTTGCAGTACTTGAGGATTCTCAACATTCCTGTTGTATGTGTGTGGTAGCTGGAAGCAGCCATACTTTAATATCTTTCTTTGCAGCAGCAGATGTAGTGATCATACTTTGTGCAGATTGTGCCTCTGAAATATCTGTAAGGGTCGATTAACATGAGATACTGTTACAGTTCATCATGTTGTTAGGAAGTTACTAGATTCTATTTTCAACTTACAAAGGAACCAAAATTACCATTCGAATGATCCCATCAAATTCAGAGGACTTTTCTGCCATGAGGTTACCTACTCAAGATTTGTCATTTCCTTCGTTTTAGGATTGTGTTTGCAGTGTTGTTTGAAATGCAGTGCTGAACTGTTTCATAGAAGATGACTTGGTGATGACATGCATGTAAAATAAATTGAAAACTTTCTTATCGTGTGTGCTACATGCCTCACTTATCGCATTCTCCTTTATATCACTCACCACCTGCTGATATATCAAATAACCCTGACCAGGCAGCTCGTTATCACATCCTCAGTCTTTAATATGGAGCTTGGCTGGTCACACTGTAAGAAAGCTAAGTATGTGGGATCTGTGAGGTAGCCGATATGAACTCACAACAGACACTCATGTCGAACATTCCAGTTTTAGAGATGTCAGTGGAAATTTTCCTGTCTTGACAGTTCATGTGAGTAGTTGTATTGGCTACAGCTAGAAGTACATATTTCTGAACAGCGGTAGTTGCTGTACCACTTGTTTATGACTCTTGCAGATCTATCTTCAGGCCCGTTTCGTGTGGCAAGGCTCAAAGCTGCTGCGTCACTTCCTGCAGTACCTGTGCTTCATGATGGCTATGGGCACGGCCCTCTCCCGCATCTCTGACTACAAACACCATTGGAGTGATGTGCTAGTTGGGGCGCTGCAAGGTGCTCTGGTAGCTGTGTTGGTGGTATGTTATCCCTTCCAGCACTGCACATTTGCATGGAGACCAATCCTTGCTTGTACAAGCAGTTTCATGAGAGGCCTGTTACATGTCAGTCATTGAAAGACAGATTTTCTTTCAGTTCTGCTCATAGGAACGTTTTATTTTTATGTAACACGCAGAAAAATTTTGCCTGTGCTTAATTAACTACCATGCCATAAAGATGTATGTGGATGTGAAGGTATAGCTTTGCATATTTTTAAGCTTCGTACTAGGTGGAGGTGAATGGTCAGCTTAACCCTCATGGGCAGAGCCCTTGGTACTCACTGGATAAGAGACTGGGTGGTCCTAAGCACCAGTCTGGATGCTATGGAGAAAAGAAGAATGTCTGTCACTGCTGGGAATGTGGTCTCGGTAGCATTAGTCCTTCCTAAGAAACCCCCCTCCCTAATCACTTTGTTTCCCGTTACCTTGTCGTAAGGATTCTGCACTTGAATTAGAGCAGTGTTCCCATCAGGGGTTCTAGCTGTGCTTTCTGAATTGGTAGCTAGTCATTTCACTGAATGGGCTGTGCATATTGTGAATATCGTAAAGGCTCATGCACATTGTTTAGGTGGCCAGACTGATGGTTTCAGGGGCAAGTCACTGACTCTCATTCATAGGGTCCAGAGTTCAATCCTCAACCAAAAATGGGTACACCTTCCCATGGTTTGGTTGGTTCCATCTCCTGATCATCACTCTTGTGATCACCCCATTATTGGGGATTACACAATCCACCCTGTGGGTGCCCTTATGTCAGAATAGATTCAGTGCTCTGGCCCAGGTGGGCAGAGGGCAGAAATGTCAAATACACCATATCTGGCGGCATTAGAAATACATATATCACAAATGAATGAATATGCATATTTTACTGTCCCTTGCCAGAATCTGTGATAGTATTGTAACGGATTTGCTCAAAGTGTTTCTGTACGATGGCTTGGTACACATGTTCCGTGTAACAATGGAAGATGTGTCTCAGTGGACGAATGTTATTGCTCATTGCTAGGCAAAGTTAGCGCACCAATGAACTCACTGGCTAGGAATCACATGACTTGTGTTGTCTGTGTTGTCCATGTTGAGCCTGTTTAACAAAGGCGTGTTGTAGCTTAGATGAGTGCTGAGTGCAGTGCAGTGTAGTTAAAAAGAGTCCAGAAGAGTTTTTAATTGAGTTCCAAGGTTCTTGTGTGATTGAACAAGAAATGGCAAGAAGACTTCATAGTGATTTGAAGTGCTCGTTCATGTGTTGAGATCCATTACTAGGAGACGACTAGCGGAAACTGAGAATCGTGGTGCATGTGAAACAGTGAACTGGAAATGGTGTAAACCAGCGGTAGCGCTGTATTGGTTGTAATTAAGAGATATTTTAAACGATGTGCCAATAAATCAACCATCCGAACTAGAACCCGTTATTTTCATCACACGTATTCTGCTACCCATGCCAGTATATTTTGAAAAAAACGTTTTTAAGACACATATTGTCTTAGTATCAGCCCTCCAGAAATCTGAAGTTGAATAGTTGCTTCAATAATCAGTTTGTGAATCAGATGTTATTGTTGCAGGCTGCTTTTGTGTCAGATCTGTTTTCTGCTCCACGGTCAGGCCTAGAAGCAGTGACGGAAACAGATGGGGATGCTCCGTGTCAGGCAGGCAGTAGTGGTATCAACAAGATCTGCTAATTATGGGCCAGCCACAGGTAACTGGTACCAGAAGCTTTGTTGCAAAGTTTCATCTTTTACATGAGCAGGGTAAAGGATCATTATGATTGAAGTACAGTAGTACAATGCTGTGCTACCATCTTCAGTACAATGAGTGCAATTTTCAGAAATGTGAAGTGTAATCTGAAGCTGTGCAAGAAACGCGTTGGGCTTATCTGGAAAAGTTCAATAATACAATAGTGCATAAAGCAGAGACTTCTCTTCACAAGATAAGAACAAAAAGACTTGAAAATGTAATGCTTTTTCTCTTAACATGTGTATGAATTACATGTAGCAGAATGTCGGCTTTTAATCATCAGCCAGGTTGGATCATTGAGGTCTAACTGCATCTGCCTACACAATATGCAGCAAAAGAATACAGCTATATTTATCTGCCTCCCTTATACAGAGGTGTGAAGACTTCTACCTTCTAAGAGCAGCTTATAGTTTGCTAGTCTCTTTTCTTTGTTGTTATGTGTTTTATTTTTCATAAAACAGTTTTACTCGTTCCAAATTTTTAGCATCATTTCTGTTTTCTCTAAGTTGATGTCTCTTCTGTCTTCCCACAGTCCTTCTTGCCTTGATGTCTTTCTGTATGTGGCCAGGTCCCTGTTTCTTGTAAATAATATATAAACATTCAGTTCGTACCTCACAGGGAACACATTACATCTCCAGTACTAAGACCAGACAGTTACCATTTTATAGGGAGAGGATCCCTCTTTATCGTGAGAATCCTAGGATATACACAAACACCCTCTATGCGGAGAATGCAGAGCTTTAGTATTTTGAAGCCAATGGCACATACAGAACCACTGGGCTATAAAGGGCTAAGGTAGCGTCCCAGGATTTGCTCTGTGGGACTGAACAAAATCACAGAAAACCTTAGTCATGATATATGGTACCCCAGATAAGAGCCAAACTGAACATGCCCTTAATACAAGTTAGAAGCATTACCACTTGTTCCATCTTGCCCACTTGATGGTATTCTTGGTTCCCTATAAAGTCCTGCAGTAATGTCAGCAATTGTGATTATCATCTATTAGATTGTTTCCATGTTTTTGCATAGATGTCATTATTGAGGATCTTTGTATATGTTGAAAGGAGGAAATGGCTCCTAAATTTACCCTTACATACAATATGCATTTTGGTTTAGTAATTTTGCTGCAAATCCCTCTGGAATTTATAGTTTTCAGTTCTGGGTATTTAACTATCTGAAACTGTCTTCTAGTGAGTTTCTAGAAGAAGAATTTATATTTTTTAAAACTGTTTGAGATACCAATGTAGATTTATTATGATATATATTTTTAAAAAAGTTTGAAGTAACTTTATCCTATGCAATGCATTATTTTTAATTGCTGTAAATGATGCATGCATGCATAGTTACATTTCATAGATGATTTATTTTGTGTCATACTATCAGGATATATCATCATATTCAGCATTTAAATGAGACCAAATGGCATACTGTATCTGTTTTTAAAACTGCATTTGACGATTATTATACATTGTTCCAAACGCCATTCTTGCACACATTATGCTTTCTTGACTTCGGTTTAATGTTTTTAATATCATCCTTGTAGATGTTAAGTTACTGACAGGCCTTGTATTAAAGCACATTATTTAGAAACTGTGACTCACCCAGTGTCACAGAGACAAGCAGCTGTCACTTGTACCCGCTGACATGCAGTGACCTCACACAGGGTGATGGGTTATGTAGGATATTATTTGCATTTATGGGAGAAATATAATTAACAGATGTGTTAAGGCCATGCATAGCACCGCTGTGGTGACACATGCATGCAGGCCAGTTAACCCAGTGTTACAGCTTTCAACACTAATACCATTACTTCAAAGTTAAAATGTGGTTGCCAGCACCATAATAGTGGGGAGTTTAAAATATTCTCTTCCCATATGTTACTTACCACTGAATTGAAAGCTGATTGTAGCGCTGTAGTGCCAGGGGATTTAAAATTCCCTGTTCTCAGGTGATAAGTTATTATGTTGTAGTTAGAATCTGGCTGCCAGTCCTGTAGGATTTATGGGATTTAAACCCCCCTTTTCTTACCACCTGGCCTCATTCTGTCTTGTGTTCTCCTCTCAGTATGTTTTGAATACCGTCTTCCCATGTCTGTTTTCCCCTTATTTCCCTGTGTGCAATATTTTCTTAGCGTATCTTTCATTTTCCACCTTGTATATTTGTTTGAACCATCTGAATGTTGAAGTTTCATGTTGTGTCTTCTAGTAATGTAACCTCTAAACTCAGAAGTGTTATATAACTGCCTAACAGCGGAAATGGCCCATAGGTAGCATGACTGGCCCCACGCAGTTTGTTATTTGTTTACTGGTGTAACTAATATGATTTCTTAAAGATTACTGTCATCTGGGATGTGACGCCGTGTAGTCTGGTAGAGAGGTACCAATGTTGTGGAAGTATCTGATGCCTCCATCTACAGGGTCTGTACTGATTTTGGAGGCAGGAGGTTCCTCAAAAATCTTCCTACTTTTCTTCCAACTGTACAGTGTCATGTTCATGTGAGACCCACACATATTATTGAGTGATTGCCTCTTTTTATGTAAATTTGATTAAAATTTCTGTTTGAATATGTGTGCATGGTGTGTGCCTGAAAGTTTCTTGTGTTACTTGGTATTATAATGTTTTTATGCAGAAAATAAATTATTTAACAAAAATTCAGAGAAGGCTTCCAATAGGGATTATCCAATTGTTTAATGTGTTTCTAAACGTATGTGAGTGCTTGATGTGTTATGGTTCTCTAATGTAATGTGTTTCATAAGAAATGCTGTAAATTGCATTTTCTTCTTCTTCGGTGGTAATATTTTGAAATGGTGGCAATGCTACATTGTTCAAAGGAATGGTTTTTGTGGAGATGTAATGCAATTTCTTCAGGTTAAGAAGACTGAGATGTCTGCAGTGTGATTTGAAGCCAATAGTCATTTTCAGTCCAGCTTATTATGTCTTAAAATGAATATTGTTAAATCTGTTAAAATAAGCTAGAAGATGAATCAGCATACAGGTGATGGAAATGAAGCATGAAATCACTAATGATAGCAGAAGTACTTGTTCTTTGCCAAGGTCATGGTTGCTTTCCTTGTCAGTATCACAATATATAATTGATCGATATTTCAAAAAAAGGATAACACTCAACTAAAGAAATTAAAGTTTACTCATGTAATTAAAAAGGATGTTGGGAATTAGGATTCAGATCACATCCAAAGACTGCTGCTATACTTGCAGATTACTTTAACAGCCATATCTAGCATACATATTGACAAGAGTATGGAATACATTTAGCGGCCTCCGTAGTCTAGGGGTAACGTTCCCACCTCATGACTCAAGGTACGTGTGTTCAAACCCGGCAGAGGTCGTGGAATTTTTAAGGGCGGAAAAATTCAGGGAACAAGTCCTCCGGGAGGGACTTTAAGCCGTGTGCCCCATGTCGTAGATTAACGGCAAGTAAAGGATCCTCATGTTTCAAGGAGACCTATGAGCAAAATTAGGTGGTTTCCCGCCCAAGTAGTAGTTTCCAATTCCTCTAGTAGATGGGGAAGTATCAGGGACCACTGCCAGAGAGGTGGCCGACCTCGCTGGCAGAACGGGGCTGATAGTGGGCACCAGTACTGGAAGGGCATGGCGACTAGTAGAATAATTAAAGGGGAACGCACAATAGATTAACAACTAGTTGCAGTGCATGGGAAAACCCACCCCCTCCAAAAATAATAATAATAATAATGGAATACATTTCATAAGCATATTTGGATGGCCCCTATAAGATACATGGCAGGAAACTGGGAACAGAGTACTTGCACATAGATACTCGTATATATATGAGTGAGTACTGGATCAGGTGTGAGGTCATTTAAATGTAACATGATATTAGGTGGTCAGGAAGTGTTTGCTTGGTTTACCAGGCAGACAGAATTTCCACTAGTTAGACATATCTCCACTAGTAGAACCGTGTGTACCTACTCCACTGCAATTGTTCCTCACCAGCTGACTTATCATTGCATAATATACGTATGTGCATATGTACATGCTTGTATGTATGCATGCATACCTGCAGCATCTGGCAATAAAATTCCAGGACTCATGTGAAAAAGAAATAAAAAATACAAGGAAATAAAATAATTGCTCTGTTTCTGTTAAAAGTAATCTCCACCTATTTGAATACATTTGTTGAATTATTTAAAAAGTTTTTGAAAAAAGTCAGCAAAGGTCTCCAAATGAAGAGTGTTCAGTTTGGCCATCACGTTTTTCTGAACATCTTGAGCATCCTGAAACCTCTTTCCGTTGAGGACAGTTTTCACCGTAAGAAAGCTAAAAATGCGATCAGGATAAATGGAATTGTTTTGACAAGTCTGGATGAAGTCTTGGCATGATGTGATTCTCCATTGCTTCTATGAGTCTGTATGGGATGGGCTGCACAGAACCTACTCCCATAAATCTTCAGTTGACAGATCATCTCCTTATTGATGTTTGATTATTTCACCATCATTCTGATAGTCAGTCAATATCTTGTGTCACCATTTCATTGCCATGTCTGCATTTTGAGAGGTTGAAGGACATCTGCTTCTTGGATCATCCTGAAGATCCTCACATCCATTTTTATATTACTTAAACTGTTCAGATACACAGCTACGCCTTAAGGTATCATCACCATAGACAGTTTGCAACATTTCATAAGTTTCTCTTTTCATTTTACCCAGTTTGAAACAAAATTTGATATTCACTCATTGCTCCATGACTAAGAATGTGACAGCAGACTCACTGAACTGATACTCATGAACTGTCAGTGACTGGACTCGCTACCCCCCTGCCATGTGTTCGTAAGAGATAGACATACACCTAGATGACAGTAGTTCGTTTCACCAGCACCGGTGCAGGAGCTCTATTGCCCGACCACGTATACATACATATGTACATGCATTTTTCAATGTATAATATGTTTACAAGATATGGAATTTACTGTTCAGCGTCTTTTCTTGGAGGGGGGGGAGCAGAAAAAATGCAAAGGAATAAATTAAAAGACTTTCAACGCATCAGCCTTGGTTTTTCACTCTTCACAATTGAGCAGTTGAATGTGTGTTTTGAGCCTCAGTGATAGTGGCATTTTGCCAAGATCGTGTTTATACTACCAGAGCTGCTAGGGTATGATTAACTGGTCAGAACCGTAACACATAATTCATTCTTTGACTCAACTGGGTGTGGAACTGCTATTGTAGTCACTGGATTTATTAAGCATGTGGTTGTTCAAATTTAATGCACTGCAGGTAGATCAGGCAGGTAATATGATAGGAGAGGTACCTTCTGGCCCTTGCAGTGCAGAGTGCTTTGCTCCTGTCTGAGCAGCTTGGGTTGATTCATCTTTTATCTTGTTTGTTTTGAGTACCATTGTTTCAAATAGTGTGCCCTTAAGTGTTTAACAGTTGTGCGGCCTACTGTGTACCCCAGCTAGATTTCTGTTGACATACTGGTATTCCAGATTCCTGGACAACGTTATGTTAACTGGACTTTTGTGTAGTGTGGTGTTCTGTGAGCATAATATTTGATATAGGATACTCCATAATTGTTATTCTACCATTCTGAGAATTGGTGATATAGAAAATGTTGTCTCTTTCTTGTTTATGTTAACTCATTGTCTGTTAGGTAGATCTCTGTTTTTATGATATTGACATTAGTTTCTGACCTTCAGACTATACATTTTTATAGTCTGGGAAATATTATTATTTCAGAATATGCATGACGCATCGTTCGAATCTCAGCCTTCCCTTGTGTCTGAATGATGATATTTGAACTGAATTTTGCCTTTCCCTATGCTCTGCCAGAAGGCTTCTGGTAACATAATTTTCCCATTCAGGCCTGCCATCAGAAGTTTCCTTCCACCAAGATTATGAATTAACCACCATGTTATGATCCTGTGCTGAGTGTTATGTATTTTCTGCTTATGTTTTTGACATGTCTCCCAGCAGTTTATGTACAGGAACAACAGATGGCAGGTGTTGCATTTTCTCTTTTATTTTCAAAGAATGTTAATGTGTGTTTTTAGCATTGTAGCTGCTAGGAGTGATGTTGGAAATAAGACAGGTGGGGAAAGGGTTAATTCACATCTGTCTGCAGAATTTCACTACCCTTTGATCTGCTCATAGATGCCAGTTTCAGAACACTGACATGTTTGCACGTGGTGAAAAACCTTGTAAAATTTGTATGAGACTTGGTCCAGTTTGAGTGGGCCAGTTCATACAGTATGATGTCCCGTTATACTTGTCTAGCTGAAGACTGGTGCAGTGACATGTATGGTGTCTTAATGACATGAGCAGTCAGTATTGATGGTTTCCAGCATCTGTGTTCATATGTGCATGATGATCTATAAACAGAATGTACACTAAATTATTATAATTATTGTGCTTAGCATACTGACAAACTTGTGAATGGTACAGATTTACACAACGGGATTTTATTTTTCTTGACCTTTTCAAATTTTAATAAGTTGCACATTGGCTTTCCATTTCTGAGCTAAAATAACTCTAATATTAACATGGGTCTTAGAGAGGTAGAATGGGATTGTATGGATTGAATTGATCTGGTCCATAGTAGGGACGAGTGGAAGGCTCATGTGAACACAGTAATGAACCTTCAATTCCATGAAATATTGGAAAATTCTATAGTATCTGCACAACTGGCTTCTTCTCAAGAAGGACCCATATCCATGCAGTTAGTTAAAATAACTCAATTGGTAAATTGATTGAAGACTCTCATTCAGTTCAGTACCTAACAGGGGCTGATACTTTGTCTTCCCCATCTCCTGCCTCTTAGGCTTACCCACTTCTGGATCAGTTGGTCCTACAGACTTTCCACAAGGAAAAGGAATCAGCGATGAAGCTGACCATTCAGCTCAGTTTTTAAAGTTAAATAATTGCCCTGTGTTTGATCTGCATAAAAGACCCTCTTTGGTCTGTGCATTGTCTTATATGATGCACCATACATGAAGTACTGATAGACAAATGGCTGTTGTGTGCGCGTGTGCACTTTTTTTTTTGGTGGGGGTGGGGGAGGTGCATGCATTCAGGTGTAAGTGTTGAACATATTCCTGTCAAGTCTGGTCAACCAATATTGCATAATTATACTCTACAGAGGTGCTGTTTAGAGGACTCGCTATATTTAAACAAAGGCTGAGTAATGCTATTTCTTGTTGCAAGACTGATGAAGTTGTTGAATTACTAGTGTAGGGAAATCTTCTGGAGTGCTTTGTCATAATAGAAACTGAAGGCAGATCATACATATTGTCTTCTGTAAATATAGCAGCTATTTTCAGGTGGTCTTGTTGGCTGTAAAATTCAATTAGGTGAAACCTCTATTTAAGGTTTTCTTTGCGGCAGTAGATTGAGGAACATTAAATGGGGGTTCCACTGTATACACATTGTCTCTTCTGAAGCATGAGTTACATACACAAGCTTTAGTCCAAAAAAAATTAAACATTTCGAGAAGCAGTATAAACAAATAGTTTACTAATTCCAGATATGTATTTCCAATATCATATTCCGAGAGGGTGCTATTTTAGTTGTATTGACAGATTTAAAACGTGCTTCCATAATACACCTTCAGCTGCCCCCTTGTGCTGCTGCTGAGGAAGGGGTGTGTGTCCACAAAGTTAAATAATGCAGTAGTGCAGACATTGCTTTGTGTTCAGTTCACATTTCAGCAGACCAGAATTGTACCATCAGTTGTTCTGAGTACATGCACACCAGTCCTTTTGACCATGTTTTGAGAGATGTATGTAAGGGTGTCCTCCATTATACTGTTAGGGTACATTTTGATGTATATTGCTCTGTATACTGAAACATGCAGGGATAAAATATAGCTATAGACACAGCCAACTGACGTACTTGTCGTCACTAATGGAGAAGCCTTGTTTGAAGGGAGTGTTTATGGAACCAAACCCAGTTCTGTAAAGGAGCATTAGTTGCACTGTAAAGAGGTGCTTATTTCCAGCCTGAATTGTGAACTCGAACTAGAGCATACTCGTACTAAGACGGAGCCGTGCCTCTGTATAGTTTGGTGGATAGGTATCGGTATGTTGGAGAAACCAGCTGTCTCCATCTTCAGGGTGAGCTGAAAGGTGATGGAAGTTTTATGAGATAGAGAAGGGAGGACTGGGACTGAAGGTGTGAGCAAATTAATGGAAACATCACGTGCCTTGAAAAGAGGTGGTTGTCAGTGGGGAACAAAAGAAGGCTTATGAAATGAAGAAAGGAAGGCTGTAATAGATAAATAAAGGAAGAGGTGGTAAGATGATAAGAAGAAGGGAATTGTATGAAAATAAAGAGGAACAGAGGCCCTGAAAAAAGGCAATTACACGTGGGCCCTAGTAAGTGCCAGATTTTAGAAACCAAGTCAAGAGCATATCCTAACAAGGAGGCTTCTTGTGTTCCCTCCCGGTGTAGTTCTCAGAAGGCCATAACTTGTATAGCATGGTTGTGCTAACATAGTGACTTGTAAAATGTATCCATATTTTTATTCCAGTTTGTGGGTTTTTCCAGTAAGCTGTTCACTGGTGCAAACAATCTCTAACAATCATTGATGTCTTTGTATCTTGTTGCAATGCAGTATTGTAATTAAGGATCTCTGTTCCCTGTAGTGCTGTCAATGTATGTGTCCTATGGTTCCCAATTTCTTATAATACTAATAAAAAGTACTGTGACCACAAGAACAAATTTTGAAAAGTGATGACCTTATAGCAGGAGAGTGAGTTGTAACATCTTGAATTCCTTTAACCTTTGGCACTCATGTGATGGCACATGGTGCAGCTACTAGGACAATGTATTTTTTTGTACCAGTACAGTTACCCTCGCATTAAAATCCAGCATCTAGTGCCAATAGTTAACGAGGGATTTACATCTCTTCCTGTATGCTAGAGATTAGAATAAGTTCTGTAAAATCGGACTTGGGAAATTGTAACGTTTTGTGTGAATGAAAATATATGTTAATGAATGGGTATGGTTAGGTCTTGGTTTGCTTCAGTTGCTTCCCCAAAAGACTTACTGACTCAGATCACAGTAATATGGCGTAGAACTAACCCAAATATTTTGAACATAGGCCTTTTTTTTTAATGCTAGTATGGTGGGACTAAGTCCCTTGTACTGCGGCCACTTATGGCCTATTGTACCAGCCCCAGATGATAGGTGAGGGTGATTGTGGAGCAACTGGTGGAATGAAGATTGGCAGGGGAAACCAAAGTACTCAGAGAAAGCCCGCCTCAGCACCACTTTGTCCACCACAAATCCCACTTGACCAGACTCTGGTTTGAACCCAGGCCGCATCCGTGGGAAGCCAGCGACTAACTGCTTGAGCTATGGCATGGCCAACATAGGCCTTCCTGTTGTATCTTGCGTACAAGAGCATCACATTTATTATGTTGCAGATATATCTAAGATAATTTATTGCTGTAACAGTTTGGTGGATCCTGTGCTTTTTCTGTCCTATAGATTAAAGTAAACAAACTTGTATATATGTATACACCTCCCAACATGGATCACTGTCACACCTCTTGATCATCCTGTTCCATGAAGATTGTTGTCGTCTGGTATGTGATGCCATGTAGTCTGGTAAATTGTTGTCAGAGTTTTTGAGGAATGTTATGCCTCCATCTTGAGGTTGAGAGATTAAGACTCAACCTCACGCACTGCATCTAATTCAGATCACCAGAATTCTATATACCAAATCAGGATACATGAGCTATATCATCAGGGAGGTGATTGAGGTTGAATGACCATGAACATGAGCGTGAACAGGGAGGTTGGCCTCCACCTGAGCAAGTCCTGGAAACCTCTTGTCTCCTGTCTGAAGGAATATCTGAAATCTTGTGTGAAGGCTATCCCATAATGCTGGTTTTCCAGCAGCTTCTCAGGGCACAGCACTGACAGTTGCTCATTTCAAGGCCATCACTTTCCTCTGTCCCTCCGCCCATGCATCCTAGCTTTCTGCACTGAAAATGGAGGCAGCTCATTCTTCCAAAACATTGGAAATGATATACCACACCACATCACATCCCCAAAGACGGTAGCATTCGTAGTCACTGCTGTGTGTTACATCCACTCGCATGTCTGATATGCAGTGGGGGTGGTCAGTTTGCTCAAATTTGAAAGGGAGGGGCGACAGAGACACAGCTTGGTTATGTCATAAGCCTGCTTTTTTATTTAAGGAACTTTCCTGTTAAAATGTGTTAAAACCAGCCAGTTTATATATGCTGGATGTGACACATGCAGCATGCATTGGCCTGTGAAACTGGGTCTCATTTCACAAATTGTCCTATAATTGACATATGTAACCATTTGAATCCTACCTGATCCATGTCCTTCTGTGTCCCATTCGCAGGAAGGCAGGAGTACAAGTCAGTCTGCCCTATGTTACTGTGAACACCAGATGGTTTGCAGGCTGTGGCTTCGGATCTTCTGTCACAGGTAAGATTGCTTGGTCCAGAATACTGTTGTCTTTACATTGGCAATACCCGCAGAAACAGAAAACGTTTCATAATCTGTAGTAAATAACAATTTCAGTTTCAGAATTAATTGGTCTCAAATAAGTAAACAAATTAGTAGTTTTTGTCACTAATTATTTAACAGTGTTATCAGCAAGCCAGGCTCGATAGACCCAATAGAAAATATCCGGAAATAGGAAATTTACGTTGTACCCTTGGCAATATGTACCTCACCTGCGCCCATTAAAGCGATGTGCAAGTGCTGAGGTAGAGTTTTCAGAGCTTCTTAATTCTGTTTTGGTTGTGCAAGTAAGCTTTTAATTTTTCTAATCAAAGTGCCCTTTTTTTTTTATTTAAAGTTTTAGAGGGTTTTTTTTTAATTCGCTTAGGGGGGTGGAGTCCAACTGGGTCCACTCGGCACGACGGCCACTGATTGGCCTATTGTATCCTGTCCCGAGTGATTATGATGATGGAGAATTTGGTGGAATGAAGATTGGCAGGGGAAACCGAAGTACTCGGAGAAAACCCGCCCCAGCACCACTTTGTCCACTACAAATCCCACTTGACCAGACCCTTGATCGAACCCGGGCCGCCGCGGTGGGAAACCAGCAATTAACCGCTTGAGCTATGGCACGGCCAAGTTTTAGAGATTATACCTATCGTCATATTGACAAGGACAGCAGCCATATCACGGGCGAAGAACGTAAAATGTTACCTCAATTAGAAACCGACACGAAAGAGCACAACTTAACGCGGACAAGACAGGCTGCAGTTCTTGTGGCACTTGGCCCTGACCGCAGCGCACTGTGCAATAACCGCACATTACATAAAGCTAACTGCGGGCGGCACTTGGCCTTGTCTCCGGCTGTCTTGATGGCCCTCATGATTTTCCTCGGTCGTTCCAGGCGGAGACTCTGTCAGAATAGGTTTTTCGCGACCAAGATTCGAACGGAGCTCCTACCGAATGCGAGTCATGAGCGTTACCGCTACGCCAACCCTGCTCGGCGTTCTGCCGCCATTTGAGCACTACCGGACAGCCCTCTAAATGAGCCACGGCCGTCTTTTGTCAGTTCCTTACCCACCACTCGTTACTCTATAGCGGACCTTACACGATCAGTAATAATGACATTAATAATGATCGTGTAAGGTTGATGGAACTTGAATGATGGTCAGTAATGATGCGAATCCGGATTTTCTGATTTTGAGGCATCATTACTGGCGCATGGTGGGGATACTGTCATCAGTAATGACGTGTAGAGTGCGCGCGTCATTATTCCTTCATTACTCAGTTTGCTTTGTGGAGTCCAATAGCTAGTCATGGACAGCGAAAGAGAGTTCTCCGTCACTGAATCCCCTATAAGTGAGGCGAATGCAGAAGAGGTTGAAGTTCTTCGAAACTTCATAGAGACATATGAAGCCCTACCGGAACTGTGGAACCCCACTAACTCAATGTTTTTAAATAAAACAAAAAGAAATATAGCCTTGGACAAACTGCTAAATATATACATTAAAATAAAACCAGGGGCTAGTCGCGCTGATGTGAGACGAAAAATCAACACACTTCGCTGTAACTACAGGAAGGAATTAAAGAAAGTTCTGACATCTAAGAGATCGGGAAGCAGTACGGATGAATTGTATCAGCCTACTTCCTGGGTATTTTACGCCCTCCAGTTTGTAGCAGGTGACATGACAGCTGAAAACTTGAGGTCTTCAAAGTTTCTTCCTGTAGCTAGGTACCTCAGGGTCACTGCTAATCTTTCATTCACCGGTAAACTCTCCCTCATATTAGTGTCCTTCCTTATTAACAATGGTACGACCATTCTCAGCAACTTATCAAATGTTCCTTCACTCATACGAAAATAGTTTCTGTAATCCTCTGATTCCGTCGCACCAATTTCTTTTAGCAGAACAACATGGGAATACTTTTCACGTTTTTGTAACCAGTTTTTCATCCAGCGTCGGCGCTTAACATTTCGTTTTGTGCCTAATGCTAAAATCATAGCAGTACACGCTTTTCTGCGAGGATCCATTATAATCCTCGAGAAAACTGACACGAAATAAATGTGTTTCTCTCTTGATGAGTCGAGCAGTACTGAAGCAAATAATATTTCTAATGATGGCGTAAGGTTGAAAAGTAATGAAGAAAGGTAATGACATGATTACTGATCGTGTAAGGTCCGCTTATGGACCTTGGCTGCTTTTTCAGTGTCTTAAAGTATGCACAGTCGGTAGCGGTCTAGCACTGTGGTTACTGACAGCTACAGATAGCCCACAAGAAAAGAAGGCAGGACATCAATCCAAACGTTTGCACCTGTGTACCAAACCACACGGCATGTCACTTGATACAGCCTAGAGAACCTCATCTCTCATTGATTTGAGTAATTTACGAACTGATTTCAATTTTTACAGTTATCGCACAGCCTTCCTTATCGCATTGTGGTTTCAGACGGGAATATTCGACGTTTAAATAATTCCCTGCGGTTAGAAACTTCATGAACACTTTATCAGTCGTCTTTGCATTTGTATGAGGACTAGAGTGGAAGTGAAAAACCACTGGAAGTATTTGGTTTAGGGGACGGGGAGGTACGGAAGTCATTCCTAGGGAAGGTTACTTGCTGTCTTCTGAGGTCTGGTAGATATTTTCCAGCGCTTCGGAGGAAGCTGCTGCATCCTTTAGAAGGAAAGGATCGAAGCGCTGGTGAATATTTGTCAGACTACACTGTCTGTGAAGCATCTCCGAGGGTGCGTCATGCCTTGAGAAGACACCTTTGCGGAAGAAAACTCCCGCGTGCTCAACGGGATGTCCGGTACGGAGATTTTGGTTCTCTTCCTGTGCTGAAAATGAATAACGATTTTTGCCAGTGTTTGAAGATATTGTGCCCTCAAAGATGTTGTAGACGGAACACATTCCAGAAGACGATAATCTTAATAGTGGCCCCCGCGAGAACCTGATCTCACGTACATCTGAAGGGTTGCCGACCGCTTCACGCGTCAGACCCAGCAGTTGCTCATCTTCCAACATATCATAAAGGGTTTGTATCTGAAGATGTGAACTTAACCTGAGCTGGCTCCTGATATTGTGACATGACGGATGGATCCAGAAGAGACGTCCATTGCTAGGCAACGACTCGGTAAACACGTTCCCGCTGCAACGAATATGCAAGCAAAATAGAGGAATTTTTGGAAACGGTGTTTTCTGTTGGGTCCTCCCCGAGGCTAAAGATGACGATGAACTGTCAGTGGTTCTACTACAACAGGGAATTCTTGTCTAGCTGAATTCATTTACGGTACTCATGATTGACTGGGGAGCTGGGATAGCTCAGTCGGTGTAGCTACGGGCTGTGTGGTTGAGGAATTGGGGTTCAATACCCGGTAGAAGCAAGAGATTTTTCTCATCCTCATAGCGTTCTGGTCGACTCTGAGGCTCACCCTTCGGGGGCAAAGCGCCCGGGGTATGAAACTGACCACGCACCTCCATCAGGTATCAGGTTAAGATTACGTGGAGTTATGCATCCACTCCACTATACACCTTAATGGTGTGGTGATTAACGAAGGAAGCGCGAGGACAATTAACTTTATTTGCATTTTTTAACGGCGTAGTGTCGAATGGCGGAGCGATAAGTGAATAATTGATAGGAAAAGATATGGGAGAAAGTGGCCGTGGCCTATCTGTACCCTTCTCGACAGCAAAGTTTGGAAACATTTCTTACTATGAAGTTCGAGCCCCACTGTAGAGCACATTTAAAATTTTATGGAAAACTACTATCATACTCTAGCAAGCAGCAATCTGCGAACTTGCACCAGACTGCACGGCGTCACATCCCACATACCGCTGAGAGAACATCGAATCCAACATACACATACATCCTTGAATTTTATCGGGACTATCGGCAGTGAGGGGGGCCACATGACGCGGCAGTTCGGGCCTGATGGCGGTACCATGCTTGCAGGGCTCTGTCCTTCACTAGGTTCAGTAGCGCGGCTGGCAAGCGAGCGGAATGGCCACGCGCAGTCTGTCTTTCCGCACCGCTTTCACGGACATCGCCTGCATTCTGCTTCGTAAGTGTTGCTTCAGTAGAGTAGTCCCACACTGAACGAATTACATTTCATTCGGTATAGCGACTAGTCTACGGGCTGGACGACCGAGGAATCAGGGTTCGATTCCCGGTAGTGGCAAAATATTTTTCTCTTCATAACAGCCAGAGAAGCTGACCAGTCACCTCCATTTAGTGCCGAGGTCTGAATGGTGGAGCTGTACCTCCACTCCTTCATACGTTTTCGTGGAATGGTGCCTAATTATTTAGGTCCAGGAATAATTTTAAGTAGTAGTAGTAGTAGTAGTAGTAGTAGTAGTAGTAGTAGTAGTAGTAGTAGTAGTAGTAGTAGTAGTAGTAGTAGTAGTAGTAGTAGTAGTAGTACACGTCTTCATCTTGACATCAGTCGGTACATACAGTAATACACGTAAGTAAAAACGAGTGGGTTTAGCTGGTGTGTACAATGAGCAGGGACAGCTGTCTGTACAGCGACTGGGGCGGGGGAAGGAGGCCAAGCATTTGGGGGGGGGATTAAAATTAAAAAGGAAGAAAATATGTCAAATATTGGTACAAAAAATTAAAACTGTTTAAAGAAACGTATTTTCTCTGGTCACCCTAGATCGGCCAATGAAATTGTGTTAAACGGCTTGAACGTAACTTTGTAAACAAATTTTCTGGCTGCTTCCCCCCCCCCTTTCTCCTTTCCTGCTTGGGAACCTGATGATCCTCGCTCGGAGAACTGGCGTCACCCTTGACTGAATGGGACAAACTTCAGGGTATCTCGTTATTAATGGCACATCAGCCTCTAACAGAAATGAGTACCAGGAATCTTCATGGGGGTAAAGGGTGGCCGGAGCAAAAGGCTGACAACCTCGCCGCCATCTGTGAGCCGATTGTCTGGAGAAAATGTGGGAGCCTCGACGTCTAACAACCCTATGGGCCTCCACGGCCTGTTACAGGGATAGCTGTACCTTTACAGTTACCATTGCATTGCAGAGGGCCAAGATTGTGATATACGAGGAATGTGGTAATGTCGCCACATTCTGTTTTGCTGTGAGGATTGAATAGCGGATGAGGAGACAGCATTTGCGTGGGGAGATCGGAGGCCCCAGAGTTCAAAACAAGAACATTTGGCATTCGAGACAGTTCTTCCCATGCACTGATCGAGGAAGTTCACTGCTCGGTGTACTGAGCAATCGGCAGTACTTTCCCAGAAAACCGAAATCGCTGTCGCACATCTAGAAGCATCTGACTGCATCCATGAACTGACAGACGTTATCTCGAGGATAACTGGGCGATATCGGGCCCTATCTTACCGCGTTACGTAAATACTCTCTCAGAAAACCGCGAACCTGCGCAATCAATTCGACGGCGCATTTCGAAATAGCCCCGATACTGTGCGTCTTTTTCCAGGGGCAAATACGGTCGGAGGGCGAAACTGACCACTCACTTTACATCTCGCTCACGATGTATTTGGACCGGGTATAAACGTGAACGTGACACTGAACGCGCAGGTCGCAGTGAGCTGACGGTTGCGAAATTCAGAAATCACTTGTCGCTCTCCTACTGGTACTGAAATACTTTACTGTATCGCTGCACATGTCCCAGACGTCGGGGCTGAGTGGGTGGCACTCCTTTGTATTTCTGAGGTGCCGAGTTCAAATCAAGAGCGTTGACACCGGGCCAAGACGGTGGCAGACACGTTCACTATCAATGAAAGGTGGGGCAAAAGTAAAGACAAAGGCAAAAAGTTGTCCCTAAGTTTAATTAATTACGAGGCCATGAAAGCATGTGGAGGAGTGGAGGTATAGCTCCATGCATACTTAACCTCTGTACGTCCCGCCAGCTTTGTCCTCGATGAAAGAGCCCCCAGCACCCATTGGACAGAGACTGGGTGGGCGCCAGAGCCAGTTTGGATGCTGTTGCCCCAGCTCGGCGTCAGAACCCCGGAAACAGCCGGTGTGGCTCGTGCTGAGACTCAGCTGCACTTCAAACTAAGAGAGATGGCTGCAAATGGATATTAACCCAGTAGACTACTTGCAAGTTGTCGATAAGATGACTTGGCCAGTATTGTTATACCTCGCAGGTGACTGGGCTCCCTGTCTGCTCATAGCCCCCCGTGTGTTTCTCTGTGTGTCAGGTACTGATGTAAGAAACAGAGCGAGAGGTTCGGGATCTGCTTCACGCGGCCCACAGCAGGGCCCAGTGGTGGGTTCCTCAGGCTGTACAAAAGCAGGGAGTTTCATGACCAGCCGAGCAACCGCACCCTGGAGTAGGCTGTTCGGTTACACTACAAACGAAGGCTCTCTGTCGTCGTTTACGAGCTCGAGTGGCCATGAAATATTCGGTCAAAGTAAACAAATTTACTTGGACACGGAGCACAGCCGTCCCCACAGCGAGTGAGGGAACAACGAACTGTTCCGCTCCCATCGCGTGTCGTGTCACAAGCGCTACGTAATCACACTTAATGTACAATTGCCTAGGGCCATGACTCCGCAGGCAGCGAAGGTTGAAGTCATCATGCACTGTTTGATTTCGCCGAGAGAACCAAGTTTTGCACACGGAGCCGTGAGGGGCTGCTCGGAGTCCTGTTCCTTCCGAAACAGCGGCCATAACAACTAAAAGTGACCATTTCTAAGTAATGTTACCAACCCACCGCGAGCTAAGTTCTTCCTGAGAAGTCACTCAAGAAATTTCCAGAATTTTATAGCAGCCAAAGGTTGATTGCCGTGTTCAGAAAAGCCCGCCAGTGGTCCCTTTCCTGCGTCATATGAATCCAGTCCGCAAACCCACTGATATCTAGGTCTTCCTAGTGGTCTCCTACTTTCCGCCAAACCGTGTATTTATTCAGCTTCTCCCCCGTGCGTGCTACATACCAAGCGTATCTCGCCCTCGTTGGTCTGATCATTCTAATTATACTTGACGAGGAGTAAAAGTTATGAGGCTCCTCATTATGCGGCTTTCTCCAGCCTCCTATCATGCTATCCCTCTTGGATCAAGATATTCTGCACAGCACCCTGTACTCATCAGTCTGTGTTCTTCACTGATGTGAGAAACCAGGTTCCGCACTCACACAAACCTACAGGAAACAGTTCATGCTCGTGTATGTTAATGTCTGCGCCTGTAGATAGCAGATAGGAAGGGGGAAGATTGCCATAGTAACCAATGTAACAATAATATTGACTTCTCACCCTTAAGTGATATTTCTCTCTCTCCTTAAATTAAAAAAAAAAGTAAAAGTAAAGCTATCCCTGTCCCAGGCCGTGAAGGCCCATATGGTTGTGAGACGTTGAGGGTCCCACACTATCTAGACAATCGGTTCAAAGATGGCGGTAAGGTTGTCAGCCTTACGCGCTTTACTCCCCAGGAAAATTATCTAATTAATTCCTGGTACTAATTTTTGTTAGAGGCTGAGTAAACCCCAGGGCCTAGTGCGGCTGGAAGTTAGATTATATTTGGTTAAACTGAATATGAGCTCTTTGCTTGCTGGTCACATCTTCGAACCTGATGGAGGCAGCACGTTCCTCCGAAACGTCGGCGAACTTCTCCCGGGCTACACGCCGTCACATCTCAAAAGAGAGTTCTCTTCAGTAACATTTTGACTTGATTACGATTCGATCTTATGGCCATAAAGTAAGAGTTGTCCCTGTGCTTAATCAGTTAAGTACTATGTCATGAAGACGCATTTGGGAGTGGAGGTATAGATCCACCATTCTTGACCTTGGCACTAGATAGTGGTGAGTGGTCAGCTTCACGGTCTAGCCGCTTGACCCCAAGGTAAAGAGTCCCCGTTACCCATTGGCTTAGGGTACTGGGTGGGCCCCAGAGCCGGTCTGGACGCTGTGCACAAGCGAAACAGCTTGCCCCTGCCGGGAATCGAACCCCGGCCTTTCGCCATACACACCGAGCTATCCCGGCTCCTCATCTTATGACCATCTGTGCACTAATTCAGCACGCGAACCCACGGGTTAATTTGTTTTGCAGTCAGATTATACCTATAATTACGTCAGTCACAGTGGCCGCACGGCCTAAGGTATGGTCTTTGCCCGCCCGAACACTGGGGTTGTGGGTTCGAATCCCACTGGTGGCATGGAGTCTGTGTGCTCTTATTTTGTTTGTGCTGTCGTGTGTGTGAGTACAGGCCTTGCGACTGGCAGATCTCCCGTCCAAGGAGCCCTACCGACTGCGTATAGGATTACGGAACTGAAAAAAAGCGGCCAGGGCTCAACGAAGGGCTATAAATCCATTGATGAAAGACTGAATTGTATAATTAAACGGCACAAGATCCGCAGGACTGGAGTCTGCGCAATGGGGTAGCAAGTTTGCTGCGTGTATGTGTGGCCCCATATATTTACTGTGCGGAGCGTGCATGCAGACAGACTGCGCACCCTGCCCACATTCCTTACTCCGGCTATAAACTAAACTAACGATTAGGGACGCGCATATTTGCTTTGCCGCTCTAGCAGCTCTAGTCTCCTCATATTCGGGGGATGCTCGATTCGGATCTCATCCTGACTGACTTTGCCAGGGTTTTCCTCAGTTCTCCCCACCCAAATTCGGGGACAGTACCTTCATTAGGTCATGACCGGTTCTTTCAGAATCCTTTCCAATTCATCAATCAACCTGCCATTCTACGTGGTCAAACTGCAGCTCATGGCACAAACACGTCAGTTGATCCTCCTTTTCTTTAGGAAATGGATTAAATGTAAGAAAATTCGCTGTTTGGAATGTCCACATCCGAACACTTACGGCGTCCAATCCACGTCCGGTTGCGGTTCTCGAACTTACGAAAATTATCATATGAGGATCCGATGTTTACTGAGTTTGGCCACCCCTGCTATGTAGTCTCTCAGAGCGTAGTTAAGTGAAGCACTCACACTTGACGATCTTCCCTGCGTGGCCCCCTGACTAATGTTTCTTGATAAGGAACTGGTGTCTGTTTATTCTGCCTGTTACATCTGGACTGTCTTATCACAGGATTATTATACAGAGTACATATTAATAATTCAGGGCTACCAACAGTGCCTCTGAACTGACTGTCGCCAATCGGTCCCATCCAGTGTTACAGGGGCTCTATCCCTGGGAGTAAAGCGGCCGTGGCGTAGAGATCATCACTCATCTAAATTAAAAAAAAAAAAATGAAATTATCATCCCATGAAAACCTCAGTTCACACTATATTGACATTAATCTACAGAGACTGAGGAAAACTATGAGTAACCTCAATCAGTACAATACATGGTAGTTGTAGTTTTTTCTTTTTTTGTAGTTTCTTTGGGTGGGGTGAGACTGAGTCCACTTGTTACATCAGCCATTGTTTGGCCTATTGTACCAATCACAGATGACCTGCCCCAGTGCCACTTTCTCTACCAAAAATTCCACATGACATGGGATCGAACCCAGGCTGCCACAGTGAGAAGTCTGCAACTAACTGCCTGAACTATGGCACAGTCTCAATATAATACTCATCGTAACCAGTAGATATTAAAGCCAGGATCCTCTTGAATGCAGGGCAGAGTATTACCGTGGTAATTGTGACTCATTTGTTTCCAGTGAGCCTCGTCTTGCTGCTGCTGTTGTATGTATTTGACGAACCAGTCCACAGAGGCTTCTTCTGTGACGATGAGTCTATCCGCTACCCGGTGCCCAAGTACCAGACTGTCAGTGACGTCACCGTTGGTGTGGTGGCAGTGGGTGTGCCCATAATTGTGGTGAGAGTTATAAGCAGAGGTATCAGGATATGGCTGCTTTCCCTTTCAGTATCGACAGTAAACGGTACCTACAATTTTAAAGAAGGAGCAGCTCTCAAATTAATAAATTAAAATTTGCTCATGCAGTCAGAAAAAGAAAACTTGGCTGTGAGGATTTGAACTGCACCTGGGAACTCTACTGCAATACTTGCATGTCACTTTAAGAGCTGTGACTTCTGTACATAATGGGAAGACTGCAGAGTAAATCTGATAATGTTTTCTGGTGTTTTGTCTCAGGTCCATGGTAGGAAACAAGAAAGTTATGTTTCTCTAAATACCAAAGACAGCTGTAGTATCTTGCACATATGTCTGTTTGTTTATAGATGGAGCTGTTTGGAACCAGTGGACAGATTTTCGCGAAACTCGATCTGCCCTTCAATTTGTGTTATTTTGTAGCTGTTTATTTAACTCTACTGTCAGAACCTCAGATTTTTTAAAACTGAATAACAAAACAGGCTGTTTTAGTGCTAATATATTTGGGATATGCTTGTTTCAAATCTCAGCCAAGACACCAGCTATCCAGACTTATTTTTTTCATGGTTTCCCCTCAGTCCTTCCAGGTAACTGGCAGAATAGTATCTAAACTGGGACAGGACCACTTCCTTCTAGTTCATCTGTCCTGCCATGCTATACAGTGTCAATGCTGGCAGCATCGTTATTTAACTCAGAGTGCATGGAAATAAGAAGCAACAAATGATGAAATGACAAGTGAATAATGAATTTGATGGGATCTGCAACAAAGTGGCAATGTAGTATGTGGACATTTGTCTGAAGGAACTGACAAATACACATCAGTGAAGATTACCTGTCTACAGTTGAAGATTCAACCCCAGGATCTCCTGAACATGATGTTATACTAACTGCTCAACCAAATAAATAATATTTAAAACATTCAGTTCCTGTCTCAGAGTAATCATGTATTTACCATGATGTTATTGTTCATCTGGGCAGATGTTGGTTACATAACATTGAGCGTAGAACAGTAAAAAAGTAAAAAGTAAAGCTATCCCTGTAACAGGCCTTGAAGGCCCATAGGGTTGTCAGACGTCAAGGGTCCCACATTACCTTGTCAATCGGCTCAGAGATGGCAGTAAGGTTGTCGGCCTTACGCGCCGGCCGCACTTCACTCCCCAGGAAAATCATTTAATTACTTCCTGGTACTCATTTCTGTTAGAGGCTGAGTAAACCCCAGGGCCTAGTGTGGCTGGAATTGAAAAAAATCCAATCACCTCATCGGTACTTGAACCCGTGACCTTCCGGCTTGTAGCATAGTACCTTAACCACTACGCTACCACGTACCCCTAGTGTAGAACAGTTCAGGTGCAATATGAGTGTTCTGCACTCAGCATTCTGGATCCCAGATCTGCATGGGTGAACCACAACATCAAGTTTACATGTAAACTCTCCATATGCATCCATCCAAAATGCATGAAATCCTAATATCACTGCATTGTATGTATTTACAGACCCCAAAAACGAATGAGGCAAGCAGCCAACTGGCTCAGGGCATGGTACACAGCTGACTAATTCTGATTAATTATGACTTGGATTCTGCGCATATAATACTTTTATAAAGTTTTCTTGTAATTTCTGTAAAAAAGAAGTTGATAGTCTGATAAGGAATGGAACATGTCAGGGAATTAGAAGCACGTGACTGATGGAAATGCAGTAAAAGTTATATAATTTGATGGTATTCCTTGTTGATTTCAGACCATAAATAAATGTGAAAAAGAAGATCTCACTAGTTCCATGGAAATTACAGTTTCTTTGAAATTTCTTAGAAATGTCATGAGATGGTGAAAGAATTTATTTTCCCTTGTATTCATGTTGTCAAACGCTGTACATCTTCAGAAGCAGAATATGATCACAGGAAGGGTTAAATCATCATTATGTGTGCAGGTTGTGATAATGGAGATAGTGCAGTCAGGCTTCGTCCATCCAACCTCGTTGGTGCTGTTTGGCTGGACACCTCACCTCTGGATGGTGCAGTGCTATGCCCACATAGGGGTATTCCTGTTTGGTGGGGGCATGCAGCTTTTAACTGTCGAGGCAGCCAAACGTCTGGTGGGCAGACTGCGCCCCCACTTCCTGGCTGCTTGCCTGCCTGTGGCACTGGACTGCACTGCTGCAGGTCACAAGTACATCACAAGCTACACCTGCTCAGGCAACCCTGACCTCATCAAGGATGCCAGGTAACTGCTTGTCACATTCATTGTTCATCTTTGTTTGTTAGAAACACTAATAAACCTGTTTGTTACTTGACATTTTCATTGGAGTGAGAATTTACTAGTAAATGTTTTTTTTTTGTGGGTTATGACATCTCATAATCTGGATGATGAGTACCAACCTTTCAGAGGAACATACTGCCTTACTTCTGTACCTCTGAAAGGCTGGTACCCATTCATCAGAGACTACCTGGTATTATAAACCAGAAGACCATAGTATGAACCTTCACTGCCAAGAAAACCTCAGACCTCATCATTCAGCACACTTTTAATCAGCAGTCAATAATATTAATTACTTTTTCAAGATTGGAAGCTTTCTTGTTGAATGAATGCACTAAAATCTTCTTGAGCTACTCAGATGATGGATACAAAGAAAGTTTGCAAGGCATTGGTCTTTACATCAACACTGGCACTGGTGGATTTCCCAAGTGTACTTTCCTCATGCTTTCTCCTTCCTCTCTCAGTTGGCCCTCTTGCATCACCTCAGTTAGGAATGAAGAGACTTCTAACCCATTTAACCTGTAATGTACCTGTGGGAAGGATATGTCCCACACAAAGAACGTGTCTGCGTGGTTATGACAATACACACAAATGCAGATTCTAGTGTTTCAATGATGAAAGATTAAAGATTAAGCAGGATCACAATGTATAATTTATTTACTTGACAGTATTTAGTGTAGACTGTGCGAACTATCATAAACATTTAAAACAGTGAAATTCAGTGCACCTTGCCACATTTACATTAAAAACACTCCACATTCTGACCATGCTGTGCTTATGGACTCATGTTTTTATGGTTCTCACAACGAACAATGATTATTTCCCCAAACAGCATTAGATCATTGTTGGTCTTTGTAATGGATGCATAATGTTTTTGCTGTAAGGTAGGAACTGAACTTTCAAGTAAAATGTAGATTGGGCTTCAGGGTTGCTATGTGTCAAGGATACTACTCTGGTTGATGTTGTGCACAGAAACCACATTAAGCTACATAAACCCACAAGTGAGTTATGCTGTTGATGTTGAGCACTCAACATGAAAACTTTCTTTCCTATCTTCATTTCTGAAAATAAAACACCGATTTTCTTGTGATCCCACACATATCAAGTAGGTCTCAAACCACAGCCCCTCGAAATCTCGCACTACTTTGATTTCCCAGCACTGAACAGATTAATTTAATGGACATATATTTTTGAAGTCCAGCCTTAGCTTGGTTACTGGTGATCATAATTTTCATCATTGTCACCAGGTAAATTCTGGAATTGTGCGTTCAAACTCCCCTACCTACCCACTATTCATGATCTGATGTTGCATAACCTCTTTAGTTGAAACAGTGTAGTGAAATATGTTAGTGTTATGCTGGACATCGTCAGTTGTTTGGGGTGTATTTCATTTGCGTGATGTTTTGGGAGTAGTGCCAACTCTTGAAGCATTGCATATATTGACAGAATGACTGAATGATTGAATGTATACTTTATTAGGACTGTTGCAGTTTACACTTTGGGATGCCAGAGTTTGATTTCTTGGTTCTGTATCTGGCTTCACACTTAAATTATTATTCCTATAGTACAAAACTCAGCTATTGTACATTAACTTTTTAATCATAAATGTTCTCTTACTTCCCTTACTAATTGGTCATCTAAATTCATTTATGCCTCATTATCATGCTTTCTTACCATGTTCTACCCATTTACCTTTGTATTTAGTCATGCATATTATTATTGCTCTTTACTCTTGCATCCAACTCTCCCCCTATTACCAATTTCTGCATCAGTATTCTTAATTCTGTAGTCCATAACTTCATCCCTCCAGATCTTTGTTCCTTCACACCTCAGCATGTTGTTTTGGTCTTCCTCTTCATAATATATTGGACATGCATATGTCAGATGTACTTCAGACAGTGTGCAATTGACAACACAGCATTCATATATTGAATTAATAAAAATCAATCAGCCATTGACCCCCTTTGCATTCGTTTCTATGCAGGTTATCATTTCCGTCAGGTCACTCATCACTGTCTTTCTATGCAGCCACATTCATAATAGTGAGTACACATTTCTCCTGCATTCTAACTTATAAACACTGAAGGCTCTTCTGTTATTAAGAATGTTAGAAAGTAGTTATGAACAGAATAAGAAAATAAGAGCAGTGGAAGGTATGCTTTANCGCCGTGAAAGCCTCAAATCTTACATGCTTTAGTCATGTTCACCTTCACCACAAGTTTTCCTCTAGATAACAGCACCTCCACTAGCGCATGCTCTTTTCCTGTCAAGTTTGGTGTTGTAGTGTAAATGTAGCTCTCTATTCAGAACTTTTTAGATGTACTGAAATTATCTATGTTTTACAAAGTTTGGCTTCAACAATTTCCTACTGAATCTCCAATGGTCTTCATGCCATTCCAGAATAACTTGGGCACAGTGGTACAGTCGCTCAAGGGTCCAGGCTCAATGCAACTACTTTAAGAGTTGTCGTAGTAGATTACCCATTCATATAGTAACAATCAGAACAAGGCCTCTGAAAGTGTATCTGTCAGGGCCACAAGTTACCAGAATCTGGCACTGAAACTTGTGTTAAATTCTGTAAAAGAAAAGTTTATCTTTTGAGGCAGCCAGTCTGTTACTGAACCAGACACTGATCTAGTCTAACAGCTAACTACTTTATGCAATATCTACACTAAGAAATATGCAGTAATTTAATAATCTATTTAGCTATGTTGATATGGAACCCAGAGTTTCAAAACCATATCCAAAGACTTTGCCACTGGATCATGTTCTGAGTAAAATCTATAGGTTCAAATGGTGAGAACCTGTTTTCTTATACATCATAAAGTACAGTGGTAACTATAACCAAGACCTGTTCTAACATTTAGCGACTCTGAATTTTTCCAATGTGGTATACACCAATTTATGTGTTTATTATAAGTTTTAGAACAGACAGTGATTATTTCCCTAAATAGCATTAACTAGTTGGTCTTTAGAATGAAGACACAGTTTAGGGTACTGTCTTCCAGAATGTGATGTTGTGTGGTCCAGCAGGACTACACCAGCATTTTGGAGGAACACCTTCCTTCTGTCCTCAGGGTGAAAGTATAAGCTAAGCAAGCAGCCACTAGAGTGACAGAAGCTAAGGTGGAGCTGTAGCCTCATTCCTGTCATTCATTTAACTACCAAGCCCATGCAGCATGATGCTGCACTATCCTACAAGTTGATGGGTGGCCCATTTCAGTGCTGTGTTTTAATTTGCTGTGAATGCTTAAAAGCTCATATGAAGGTCACTGTTATGTAATTTTCCCCATTCTCTACTATATCGTATTTCTTCCTGGTCTGTTGCTGCAGATGTACCTGCAGATCCGCATGACATGGGAAGGCTCCAAGCTGCTGAAACACCTCCTGCAGTTTCTGGCTGTGATGGCTGCGTGGGCCACGGCTCTCAGCAGAGTGTCAGACTACATGCATCACTGGAGTGATGTTTTGTCTGGCATCGTCATTGGAACCCTCTTTGGGATCCTCACAGTAAGTCCTAGTGCCACAGCACAACTTGAATCTTGATCTCTGCTTTGGATCACATGACTCACAGTGTACTCCACTGATTCTGAACCCCTGGCATGCCACAGTGAAGACAAAATTATATCTTCGAAAGAAATGACATTTTACAATCAGGTAAATGTTAGTGGTATATTAACCTTTCAGAGCCCAGTGGTCATTATATGTACCACCTGATTTAACATGCTGAAACTCTACATTTTGCCCACAAAATGTATTTGTGTATTCCGCATAGTTCTCACAATAAACAGTGATTATTTCCTTAAACAGCATTAACCGGTTCGGCTTAGTGCTGGAGATATAATATGTTTACCGTGGGGGCAAACTGAATTTTTATGTGTTATTTAGAAGAAATTCAGTTTTTAAAGGATATTTTTACTTTTGAGGTCATATGTCCTACCCAGCCACTTGTCAAGTCCCACCAGTCGAGAAACACTGCCCAGCACCATCTAAGTACCATATCCAGTGCAATACTTTATACACTGTGCAAGCCCATCCATCAGACAGCATCCCCCAGTTTCGTCTGTGCAGAGGAACACAGGTTGAGTTGTTTGGGAGCAGAGTGCTGGAAAGCATGTTTGAATCTAGGAGAGATGAAATAGCAGGAGACTGGAGAAAATTGCATAATGAGGAGCTTCATAATGTGTACTCTTCACTAAATATTATGAAAATGACCAACTTAAGACTGGGAGGTAGGTGGGGAATGTAGGATGCATGGGATAGATGAGAAATGCATACAAAATTAAGGTTAGAAAACGTGGAGAGACGAGACCACTTGGAAGAACAATGCATATGTGAGAGGATAGTATTCGACTGGTTCTGAAAGGAATAAGGAAGGAGAGTAGGGACTGGATCTTTGGCTCCTAATTAGGACCAATTGTCAGGTCTTATGAGCGTGATATGAAAATTCAAGTTCCTTAAGTTGCGGGAATTCTTGAGAGGGTGAATTATTTGCTTGTCAAAGAGAACGCTGCTCCAGGAAGTTAGTTAGCTATTTAGGCACTTCTGTTACAGTTATCCCATGTGTAACTTTAAATTTACATTAATTCATTTTAAGACTATCACTGTTTAATGGCCTAAAACGTTTTGAGGAAAATTTAACTAAGTATCACCTGAAAAAAAAATGACTAGGTTAAAACTAAGATGTATGTATAACATACACACATTACATCATAAACAGGCAGAAGTTCCTCTCCTTTGTCCAGGATATGGCTGCCCTCTTTGTCAGTGGCACAGTAAACTGTGGCTAAAACTGTCAGTAAGAAATAACACTCAAATTAAGGAATTAAATCTTCCTCTTGCAATTTAAAAAAAGAATAATTGTGCATGAGGATTTTAATCACATCCAGAAACTGTACTGCTTTACTTGCGCACTGATTTAATAGCTGTGGCTACTGTACACAATGACAAGAGCATGGAGTAATTTTGTTAATATCTTTCAGTGTTCCCTATTAGAAGCATAATGGGACACAGGATAGGTTATGTTCTTATGCACCTTTGATAATGTTTCTTTCATGCCTACTATGAGAAATTCAATAGTGTGAAAACAAAAACTGTCAAGATTTCAACATTCAGAAGCACTGTCTAAGCACCTGTGGTCACCCTGCCATCTACCTTCTGCCTCCTCAATTTATGATCATACTCATGGTGATGAAAGACACCCTGCATAGCATGAGAGTAAAACCAGTATTTTGGCACCATCAGCTGTTTGGTCTTTCACTGAGTCTGTCATAATCAGACAGAACCAGCTGTTGCAATGTCAGATTTGTTGTTGGTGCAGATTGGAACTGAACTTCTTTGGGACAGGGAGAGAGGGAGCGAGAGATTGATGGAATGGTCACTAGAAGAATACAAAATAGCTCTACTTACTTACTCACTCATGGAGCTGAGCCCTTCTGGAGGAGCTGCCAATTATGCAGCTACTCATGAATTTCCCAGCATTTTAAGGAACCTGAAGGTTCATTACCATGTTCACAAGAGCCCTCCACTGGTCCCTATCCTGAGCCAGATCAATCCAATACATACCATCCCATTCTATTTCTCAAAGATCCATTTTAATATCGTCCACCCACATATGCCTTGGTCTTCCCTGTGGTCTCTTTCCTTCTGGCTTTCCCACCAACATCTTATACGCATTCCTCATTTCCTCTATTCGTGCTACATGACCTGCAAACCTCATCCAATAGCTCTAGGTTGTATAAAATTATGAATCGTTGTGATTCATATGTGATTGTGATATTATGGATGATAGAAATCCCAAAACAACGTAAGAAGATCTGTAAAATATATTTTAAACTGATTCCAACATTCATATCTGAAAGATGGGCCCTTACAGAGAGGAAGTGCAGCAAAATCCAAGTAATTAATATGAACTTTCAGAGACGTGTTGACAGAAAAGCAAGAAGGGACAGAATTATAAATTGTTTTTTTAGAGGAGTTTTGATTTAAAATTTGCTAATAGAATTAGAGGCAGCACTGTTAAATTGTCTGACAATTAAAGAAATTGACAGAATAAAGATGCAAGGAAGGGTGGTTGAATTCAAATTTAAAGGAAGGAGACCTGTTGGAATGATCAAGATTAAGATGGTTCAGCCACGTAGTGGAAGTTATCAAAAGGAGAGGAGAGAGCTAGCAAGAATTTGAAAAGTAGGAATTATAGGAAGAGTAAAAGATTGGAGGCTTTTCGTCTGTCTCATCTGTTGAACCATAAATATTGGAGCTGATGCTGGAAGAAGGAGAGAAGATAATTTATTAGCCTGTATTTGTTATTCTGGAAAAGAATATGGACGAGTATTGTCTCCTGAGAAGCGATGAACATGAAGTCCTGTAGAACCTATCTACATGGCATTGCATTCTGTAGGATTTGTGGTGCCACAATATTTGTATGTTTCTGTATTTCCAACCTCTAATAACTCTTTAACCAACTGTCTGATTTTCACAGAATTCAATACAAATGCCACACCATTGACTGTGACATTACCATTAGCCCAGGTAGCTGCTATTTTGGAAGCATAACAAGCACCAATTTTGTACTGTACATTGGTAGGCTGTAAAATAACATGTGACTGCGGGAAACTTATATTTTGTTTTGTTTTGCAAGAGAGCCCTTGGCCCTCCAGTGACTGAGCTGTAGTGAAGTCTGGCCTCACCTTGTTTTCTTCAGCTTTCCATTGGTTAACACCATGCTCCACAATCATATTCTCACTTCTAATGCAACACATAATATACATCAGACCTAGGTGAATGTCCCTCAATTTTAAGGTTTTTCCTGTTCAGTTTATTTGATCCAAAATCAACAATTCAGTTGTATATTTCTCACATTTAAAATTTTCCTCAGTTTAGTGTTCAAATTCAGTGGTCCCCAAAGAAATTTTAAATGGGAGATTCACTGTATTGGTCCACGTTTTCCTACTGACTCGTATATCTTGATGACTGTATATGCTGAAACACCGGTAAAGCTTCAGAATAAAATGAGACTAAACCCCAAAAATCAAAGTTACACATTGGATACAAGGCCATGGAAACCTAAAGTGAAGAATGTTTGATGTTCAGGTTTACCTAGAGATTTGTTCAAATTATTATTCTGTATGTTGGAAATTACAGGATAGGATGGTATGGATTGGATAGATCTGGCTCAGGATAGGGACCAGTGGAGGGCTCTTGTGAACACGGTGATGAACCTTCGGGTTCCATAAAATGCTGGGAAATTCTTGAGTAGCTGCAGAATTGGCAGCTCCTCCAGAAGGGCTCAGCTCCATGAGTAAGTATGTAAGCATGTCGGAAACTACAGACATGCTTCTGACTGACTTAGGCAGTAGAAACACGTGTATTAGGTGTTTTTGACTTGTAGACATTATTGACTGGTAGAATTAATCATTTATAAGTACATCTATCATCTTTTGAGACGGAAGTAGTTAAAGGGAAGTCAGGATCAATATTCTTCCCAGTCTTGTTTCATTTTTTTCCAACTCCTGAGTGTTTGTGACAGAACTTTCACTTTGTAGTGGAATCAACATCGCATGAGAGTGGGGTGAGTTGTTTTGCCCAGTGATGTAGTTCCTGTGGCTCGCCTTTCCTTGTGTCTGTATGCAACAGTCACCAGCAGTCATTGCATATCCTTCTCTTGGTTCCTGTGGCTCACCTTTCCTTGTGTCTGTATGCAGCAGTCACCAGCAGTCATTGCATATCCTGCTCTTGGTTCCTGTGGCTCACCTTTTCTTGTTTCTGTATGCAACAGTCACCAGCAGTCATTGCATATCCTTCTCTTGGTTTCTGTGGCTAGCCTTTCCTTGTGTCTGTATGCAGCATTGCATATCCTGCTCTTGGTTCCTGTGGCTCGCATTTCCTTTTGTCTATATGCAACAGTCACCAGCAGTCATTGCATATACTTCTCCTGGTTCCTGTGGCTCACCTTTCCCTGTGTCTGTATGCAGCAGTCACCAGCAGTCATTGCATATCCTGCTCTTGGTTCCTGTGGCTCACCTTTTTCTTGTTTCTGTGTGCAACAGTCACCAGCAGTCATTGCATATCCTGCTCTTGGTTCCTGTGGCTCGCCTTTCCTTTTGTCTGTATGCAGCAGTCACCAGCAGTCATTGCATATCCTGCTCTTGGTTCCTGTGGCTCGCTTTCCGCGTGTCTGTATGCAGCTGTCACCAGCAGTCATTGCATATCCTGCTCTTGGTTCCTGTGGCTCACTTTTTTCTTGTTTCTGTGTGCAACAGTCACCAGCAGTCATCACATATCCTGCTCGTGGTTCCTGTGGCTCGCCTTTCCTTGTGTCTGTATGCAGCAGTCACCAGCAGTCATTGCATATCCTGCTCTTGGTTCCTGTGGCTCGCCTTTCCTTGTGTCTGTATGCAGCAGTCACCAGCAGTCATTGCATATTCTGCTCTTGGTTCCTCTGGCTTGCCTTTCCTTGTGTCTGTTGTACAACAGTCACCAGCAGTCATTGCATATCCTGCTCTTGGTTT